GCTGCGGCTGGTCCATCACAGTATGGTAGCCAAAAGGGCCGGCACCGATAGAAGGTCCGCCAGGCACGCCGCTGAAGTGGCGCTGCTGTTGTTGGTGCGGCGGAACACCGGTTTGACCAGTGAACGGTGGCCGTGCCATGAGTTGTTGCTGCTGCCGGATATGCTGCTGCTGCTGTTGCTGGGGCATTCCCGGTGTCATCGGAGCCTGCTGGAATCGCTGCTGTGGACTTCCAACTTGCTGCGGAGGCTGGTGGATCGAGTGTTGCGGAGGAGCGACGTGCGCCACGCCATTTGCTGGTGATAGAGGATACGGCATGCTATGGGAGGCACGGCGCTGCTGTTGTTGCTGCAACTGCTGTTGTTGAAGATGCTGCTGCTGTGGCGCCCCAGGCGTCGGTGCCGGCGGAAGTGGAACTTGCTGCGGAAAGCCCGGTGTGCCCGGTGGATAGCGGAATTGTTGCGGGGTGCCTGGTTGCATAGCTGGCGATCCATACGAGCCCGGAAGTGGCTGCGAGGCAACGCGCTGTGGTGACATGTGTGGAGACACTTGCTGGCCTGGTGCAAAACCAGGGCCTGGTGGCTGGTGTTGCATCCCTTGCCGAGCCTGCATATGTGGCTGGGTCTTAGCCATAGGACCGTAGTTGTAACCATTAGGCGATGGCCGGAAAGGAGGTTGGGCCTGTGCACCCGGTCGGACATGCGGGGGGAGTGCAGCCGCAGGAGTGCCGGCAGCACCGCCCACGGACGCTCTATGCGGTGGACCTGCACGGGCTGGCGTCTGATGTTGGCCAGGGTAGAAGGCACTACCAGAAGCCATTGGGGTCCTGCTTGGAGTGTTGAACTGCGGGCCGTAGTTATGGTTCACCGAGACGCTCGCTGACCTATGAGCCGGTGTGCGCTGCGGTGAATTGGTCGCAGCTTGTGCCGCCTGGGCAGCTTGGCGGGCACGGACGATAGATTCGTCCTCGTCCAAAATACCGTGGTACTCTTCTCCGCGGACCTCAATCTTAGTGCTGATATTCAGCTCCTCAAGCTTGTCCGAATTGAGACGTGCCACAGCATAGGGGGGAAGGGCCTGGATGATAATGGACAGCTGCGCCTTGAGCGTCTGGTACGTGAGCATCTCTTCTTCGCTAGGTTGTTGAGCGAGTGTGCCATTCCGTAGCATGTCCGCGTTGACAGGATCGGCTGAGAAGCGGTCTTGGCTGGTCGGCAGTGTGAGATTGCGGTTGCGCTGGTACGACGCGAGCGTAATAACCAAGTCCGAGACTTCCTGGAGCATCTCGTCGGCATCCTTGTCTGCATCCGACTTCGCTCCCATGACCTCTTCCAGTGATGGGTCGACCAGACTATCGTCCCACTCGGCGATCGTTTTCTGTAGAGCCTCCTCATCAAGCACATGAGCTGAAACCAAGTCGTCAGGTGTCGAGGCGTCCTCAACGTAGTGCTCGTCGGTATCAAGCTCCTTCTCAACCATGCGTTGAAAAACACGGTGGCCAACACGCTGCCACCACATACGGCCGACCTGGGTAGCAGGCACAATTGCGGCGGAGTCATCCTTAGACGGTGCAAAGCTGGAAAAAGCGCCACGGAAAAGAGACTCCATCTCGGACAGCTCGAGTTCAGTTGCGGATGGCTTGCGGCCGGCCAAGCTTTGGGCCCGTTCACGCTGGCGGGTCTTAATCTGCGATGACGGTGTAGCATTGCTGTAGTCAAGCCAGTGGCCCATCGTAATTTGTTGGGTAGAATAAGAACCCGTTCGATATTTGGATCTCTCGGCCAGCTCTGGATGGTAGAACCCCAGTGTTGTGGACTTGGTCGTGCTCTTTGGTGCCTTTGGTGGCTGCAAGGGAGGCAAGTTACGGGGAGACGGGAACAGTTCGCCAAAGGTCGGGGCGCGGTTATTCTTGTCGGGAGGTGGCGGCGCGAAAACGCGGGTGAGGGTCATGTTACCACCAAAGCTGACATCGATGTCTTCCCGGACAAGGTCGCCGATCTGGTCGTCACCATCATCAGCTCCACAGGGGGTTTGCGCCTTGACAGCCGACCCGCGCGAGGGCAGACTTGAAAATAGCTGCCGGGGACCAGGCGCATTACCAAAGACGGTCAAAACAGGCTCGCCCCGGTTCGAAGACGATATAGACACAGACACATTATTGCCAATCTTGCCTCCTGTTTTGCCATGCAGTGGTCCAGATTTAGGGTACGCAGTTTCTCGGCGATAGAGGTCGTAGGCGGCCTCGCGAAATTTAGCAATGTGCGCAATGGCTGCTCGCTTCGCTTTAACGTCCATGTCTGCCGTATTGTTTGAATTTTGCTTCGGTTCAGTTGCGTCGTTCGCGTTAACGTCCTCCTTGGCTTCGCTTGCGGCTTCGCCTTCAGTCTTGCCTTCGGATTCGGCTGGTGTGGGTGCATCGAGAGCGGCCAGTTCGCTGCGTACAACGGCAGCAATGTCCAACACGAGGTCGTCCAACAACATGTAGGCGTCGTTCTTGACCTTGTCGGAAACAGACTTCGCTGTCTGCGAGTTGGGTTGGCTGGCAGAGTCATCGGCCTTCTGCCGTTTGGCTTCCGGCTCGTCTGATACAGGGGAGTCAGGCAGCAGTCGTCGTGAGAGAATAGGAGGAGTGGACTTGTCGAAGCTGGGCCACGTTGTTAGTAAGACGGTACATGTACAGAAGATACGGGCCAGGGGAGGGTGATGTCTGGGCATACGATTGGAGAACGCCAAAATAGTCACGGATCAGGCGCTTCTCGTCCCGGTTGCCCGCGGTCGTCGACACAATAAGACCCGGCGCTGCATGGCTGCCGTTGCTAGCTGTTCCTGTATTTCCGTTGTTCGGCTTCGATGAGAGGGCGGGCGATGCGGAGCCAGACGAGGCCGCTTTAATTTGGTTGACGGCCGTGGCGTGCGATCCTGCCGCAGCTGCAGATGGTGATGCACCTGCTTCGGCCATCACTTCGTCGCTATTACTGCTATCGCTGCTATCATCGCGTTTCCGCTTAGTCGCTGCCGTACCGTTGCCGTCGCTTTCACTCCCATTGCTACTACCACTGGGACTCGCTGGCGCAGCGGTTGCAGAAGACGCAACAGCAGCGTCGCTGGACAAGCCGTTCGCACTGACCGCGTTGGCGGCAGCCATTGTCAATGAATGCCAACGTCGATCAGAATGGGCTTGTAGTGTCCAACAGGTGTGTCGCGATGGGCGAAATACTATGTCGAGGGCCAAAGGCTAGCAACAACGCGCGAGAAATCAGTCGAGCGTCGAGCCTGGGGCAGAAGCCGGTGGGAAAAGGGGATGTAAACGTCAAAAAGGACAAATCTCGCAAGAAAATCGCGTCGTGCAGCGCGATGCAAATATGTATTGGTAAATTATGGCGATCGTCGAATGCAACTTTGGCAGCCGTTGGGGTTGGGGTAAGTGAGGCCGTTGCTGCGCTCCCTGTTTCGCGCTTCTTCGCGTTCGTTCGCGAAACGATGGTCAGCAAGAAAAAAATGGCGACGATGCAGTGCACAATGGCGATGGATCATCGAATGGGTGGGATTGGAGAAATGGGGCCGCAAAACGAAGGATGGACGTGGCCGTAAAAACGAGTAAGAAAAAAGCGTGTAGTCAAAACTCCTTGGGGCTTGGGTTTGCTGGTGTCGCTCACGGCTTTACGTTTTCGTGGCAGGAGGGAACTGCAAAACGCGCGAGAACGGAAAGGAGCCAAACAGCAACCAAAACGCAAGGGAAGTTTGAGACAGAACGCAATTTAGCGCCAACAGACGAAAAGAATGGGAAAGATAGAGTGGAATACAGTGTCCCTTGCTGTGGGCCAAATCGCGGGTTGATTGGCTGTAACTTGCATCACGTGTATTTGGGGAGCCACATTAACTCGGTTAGTAGCATACCAATTTAAATGTTTGTCGTTCAAAAGGCATGAGAATAACATCTTTTTCAATACAACGTGTAATCGCAGGCAGACACATTGACCAATATCACCAATTCTAGAGATGAATATTTAAATTTCGATAAATTTTTGGTAGGATATACGCCAGGCGTATTTGTTGCGCTAAGCTACACCTACATACATAATGGTATCGCATGCCCGTTAAATATTTGGCAGTTAAACAAAAAAATAAAAAACCTAATGGCCAATCCAGAAACTCACAACCCATTTTTAAAAATGTAAAATAAAATAAAATAAGACCCAAAAGCGTGTTGATGCTTTTATAACTGGCGTATATGACGCAGAGATTTTCGTACACGTTATAAATCTAACAAAAAGGCTTAAGCAGTCGAAAATGTAGGTAGGTACTTTGCGACGGCGCTGAGAGATCTTCTCAGTAAGGACTCTGTAAGAAATCTGTGATATTACTTGGGCCCCTGAGTCGCCGGTGAACGTGGGCCACAGGTCCATGAAGACATTTACTGGTCGGTTTGACAACCACAAACCTGAAACTTGATGAGCAGACGCGGCTGTTTGCGCCGTGTGCTGAGATGCATTTTGAACGTGTTCCTTAGTTACTATGTTCACAATTCGACGCACTAATAGAAACACTGGCTAAAATATAACGAGATAAATAAAAAAACATGTTTGTGGTGACGTGATGAGCGTATAGCGAGGTAGCGGTACAGTAGGGTAAAGACCAAAGACGTGAGGGGGTTAAATAATAATGCTAACAAAATACAAGCACACCCCAGCAAGAGCAACAACCGCAATCAACAATGCTAGTCTTGACTTTGACAGACGACTCTTCGTCACGCGATTACAGCGGACTGCAGCCGCGCGTTCGCGGGACGAATGAAAGAAAATACCGAAATCGAACAAAACCGTGCGTAGGACAAATAGCAAACAGATAAAGAGACACAGAAGCAAAATAAAGAGGGCAAAAGAGGACTGAAAGCGCTCGTAGTACAGGTAAACACTCGCAACACTATCACAGTCCCGCCCTCTCTTCGACCTCTCAAATAAATGACTGTTGCTTGGTGAAAATTACGGCGACGATTGCCCGCTTATTTCTTAGCCAGGGCCAAGCCAACAGTGTTGTTGTCAAGATCATAGATAGAGTAGTAGCGGCGCAGGAAGGCGTCACCGAGGATGGCCAGCGGGCCGGTCGGCTCCGGGAAGTCCATGCCCATGAAGGTCGAAATGCAGCTGCCCGACACCTCCAAAATGTAGTCCGACGCAGGCAGGCTGAAGTTGTGGCCGCTCAGGGTAAAGGTGACGTCCGGGAGACTGGCCTTCTTGCTGCAGTCAATGGAGTACTGGCCGTTGTAGCCCTTCTTGGCGCCAATCTGGGTGTTGAGCATCTCGGCCAGGTTGGAGGGGAGGGCAATCAGCGAGGTGCCGGTGTCCAGGATCACACCGGTGTTGTCGAGCTCAGCAACGTCCTCGCCAAGAGCGATGGAGTCAAGGTCGACCTCCCAGTAGGCCTTGCGGCGCAGGGGAATGGTAGTAATCTTGCCGGTGTAGTGGTCCTTGTTGACACCACCAAACACAGCCTCGGAGTCGTTGCCGTCGTCAGAGTAACCCAGGTAGAAGGCAAAGACACCCGAATCAATCAACTCCTGGTTAATCATGTTGTAAAAGGGGGGCACGACCTTGTTCACCGAGATGGTGTCGTAGCCGAGGCCCAGAATGCCGTCGAAGCGGCCAAAGGCGAAGGCCAGACCGGGCTCCTCGGTAGCCTCGGCGAAGTCCTGCTTAGCGATCTTGAGGTTGCCAATGGAGACAGTGTCCTGAGACACGAAGCCGCTCAGGCTGCCAGAACCGTACTGGATGGCGAACGACGAGCCGTTGGCCTTGTAGCTCGACGAGGCGCTCGAATCATACTTGGAGTGAAGATAGCAGGCGATGGAACCGCACTCGCGCGAGGGAACCCACAAGTTCGAGCTGCCGGTGTCAAGGACAACCTTGAAGCTCTGGGGCGGAGTGCCAATGGAGATCTCAGCAAAGTCTATTACTAGTTAGCCGCCGTTGGTTGTTCGCAAGACAGCGAGAATAATTCGCTTCGACGTACACTGTGCGTTCATAAAGTTGCTGACAGGCACCGGGTGGTTAGCCTCGATGCTTGCAGCCGTGTTCTTGAACATGGCATCGGCATGAGTCTCAGGGCGGCCGCCCATGTATTTCTGGCTGAGTCCGCGAACCTGGGCATCGATGGGGATCGACTCCTAATTGTCACAACCGACAGTTAGCAAAGTGTGCTACCGGCGGTAGGAACAGCGATGAGACGCCGATGGCGATGCCAATCAAAACAAACGTATGGCTGATCTTGGCCAATGGCATGTCATATTGGTAGGCACGATAAGCATCGACGAAGTCAACATACCAGCTGCTTCGCAAGAGGGACCTTCTTCAGCTTCAACGAGTGGACACCGCCAGCCTGGGCGGAGCCGAGCAGCCCAGCTGCGGTCAACAACAAAGCGCCCTTCATTGTAACGGGTATCGAGAGATACAAAACGAATGTATAGAGGACGGAATGACCGGAAACAGGAAAACGACAGCAACAAGGACACAAAAGAGAGAAAATGTGATTGCAAGGCCGAACACGAGATGTTGCGCAACCGTAGAATCCGAGGAAAATGGCGATGATTTGGATAGAGTCGCTGTGTTGATGTTTTGAAGGAGGAAAGAGGAGGACGAAGAGGAAGAGCAAGAGAGGAACAGCGGAAAGAAGGAAGTGGAGGGAGGACGGGGTGTATGGGTACCTGGGTACGTAAATCGTACTTCGTACAGGAAAGCGGCGGCACAGACGAATGAGAAGGTCCTGGGCCAGGCCATCCCATGACGGGAATGGCTAATAATGGAGCCTGGCTCGCTGGGGCGACTGCTCCTTTTGTCGCTAAGCCCAAGACATGCGACAGGGAAGGAGGCGACCGCTTGGGCGACCACGCCCAGTGACGCTGTCCCCGTCTTATCGCCCCCACAGTGCCAAAAGCAGCCTGACGTACAACGCTTTCCCGTTTTACTACATCAAAACGCATCGGCCGAAGGTCCCAGCGCAAAAGACAACGGTGACAAAACAACGATACCGGACAACAACACTCACTCCCAAAACATGGTAAGAACGTAGCGGAAGAACGGGGCGGACACTCTACATAGTGTGGTTGGCAGCGTGACCTCCCAGTGGCCAATTATGGGGAGGGCGCAATGACTGGGACCAAGGAACTTCTGAAAGCAGGTACGCGCGCCGTCTCATTAGTTGGCTAGGCCGCCTGGCGTAATCGAATTTCTTGCAGCGGTGTTTTTGGCGACAATACCAGAATACGTAGTACGGAGACTGCCTGGTGACGCACTGGGCGGCGGGCGTTGCCCCAACCCAAAAAGGGAAAATCTGCCTGGCTGGCATCTTAGTGAGAAAAAGTGGATCCTGGTGTTGTTGTTGTTGATGTCACATGATTCTCATTGCTACTTTACATAAGGCACGGCACGCTACTCCAAATGTTGGGTGCAATGACGCCGTTGCGCTGAGTGGAAGCTCCACCGCATGCGGATGACGACACAACTGGAGCCCAGCAGTACGCACATTCGGAGTCACACTACTTGGCATTCCAGGCAGACAGATAAATCTTTGCGCAGTGTAACTATTCCGTACAAGTCAGTGGCAAACAACGTCCAACGAAGCAATACAGAGCGAGGATCACCAAATTCCCCGAGTGGAAATATCATTGTGTCTCGGCCTCGTTATCTGGGTCTGTTGCGGGCAAACCCATGCGGGATATGACAGACAAAGCACGGAGACGAAGCCACAAAATGAAGCCACAAGCACCGGTTAGGGGCATAATTCCGGTTACGGGAGGATATCGATGGCAAACAAATAAGCTTAGCGTTTATGTGCAGTTTATTAGGTTTGTTAATCCCGTCTGCTTAAATAGTATGGCAAAAAACAGCCGCGGAAAACACGGCTTTTGTTTACAAAACTTCATGTTCGGGCGTCCCGCCAATACATTTCTCTTCATACAAAAAGGAACTGTGAATGAGATAAAAAGAGACGAGCGGATAAACATGAAGATCAATTTGTCCGGCAAAAGGGGATGGTGAAATATCTTCCCAAAATTCTCGATTTGACAAGCGCCAGGAAGCATATCATTAGAGTTGGTCAGAACGGGCGCTTGTGACGTAAAAAAGAGAAACTTCGAAGAGGTTTGTCGTTTCACGAAGACATCATGCCGCGAGAAAGAAGAAATTCTATTGGCGATATAGCCACCTGCTGGTATTTAGGATATTCGTATGCGAGGACTCGCTCTTTCAACCAGAGAGGACAATGCCCGGGTGCTTGGCAGTGTTGCACTATGTGTAAATAAGTAGTATTGGTTCATGAAGAGAAGAGGGGAAAAACCAAAGTCACATCTGAACGCGAGATAGGCGACATAGTTATGAAAAGCAGCGGTGAAAAAGATTAGGGAATGAAGGGATAAATAAAATGAAGAATGCGAGTATGTGTAGCCAAATAGAGACTGAATGAAACCCACTGAACACCAAGATAAAAAAGTTACACCAGAATTGCCACGATAATGAATAATAAGACAGGAAAACCCGGTAAACCATTCACATGCCCAGAACCACTGCCATCCTCCTAAGGACAAAAGAAGACCATTGAAATAAAGCAAAACGTCAGCAGAAAAACAATGCAACGGGTGGACGGTTTAGTGGATGCTTTCCGGGCTCATGAGACCTCCTGCGTCGTCTTTTTCGTCGGCGCCAGGGCTGCCTTGGCTGCCGGCATTCTCCCCATCGCCAACAACACCATTCGTAAGGTTGGATCCTAGCGCACCACTTCCTGTTTTGCTTGCACCGTAGTTGAGGTTCGGCACAGGAACGCTCGTCGTTTGGCCCGTCTTGAGCTTCTTGACTGGCGTGCCTTTTTCGGAGGCCGCCGTGGCACCGGCCGCAGCTTGGCTCTGACCTCCAGCACCACCTGGGGCTTCCTCGGCGGCTGCCTTTGCAGCCGCCGCCGCCGCCTGCTCCCGCTTCTTTCGCTTCGCCATGGCAATTTGCTCCTTGGGCGGTCGCTTTTGCGGAGATACGATCTTGCCTGTGGCGCCGAGGCGTGGCCGTGGGCGACGTTGCTTGACAGGAAGATCCTCGTCCTCGACAAGAGCCTGGTCATTATTGGCGTGAAGCTTTGCGAGGAAGAAATTCTTTACAAGTCCGATTTCCTCGGTTATGCCGGTCGTAGTGACGGCGTCGAGGGGCTTCAGGTCCTCGAATAGAAGCTCCGAGGAGACTCCTGTCGGCGCGTCCACGGTGTGCTGGTTGCGCACACGGCTCTGTAGTAGATGAAGGGGAACACTCATGATATCAAGGCCAAATTCGCGGTCCAGGCCTAAGGCCTTGAACCCGAAGAAGTCCTCGCCAAGCTCTTCGGCAAAGTCGCCGCCAACAAACTGGTCGCTGCCGTCCTGGAATGCCTCGGTACCACCATCCTGTAAGGCGGGGCGCAGCAGGTCACTGAGGTGCATCTTCATACGGTCATGGATGCCGCTGAGCTTGGTGCCGAGGCGCTCAACCTCCTCTCGTGCGTACGAATCGAGGGAGTCGATGTCGTGGCCGTTCTCGTATAGCGTATGCAAGACGACCTCTTCTGGGCTATACCGTGGCTGGAAACGGTTGCCCCGCTCCGCCCACACACCCACCGCCTCTTTCTTCTCCGCTTCGTTGTAGACGTTAAATGTGTGGCAGAGCTTCGTAAAGTAATCGGCTGCAATGTCCGTCATGGCGTCCATTGCGGATGGCTGCAGCTCCTCGAAGCCTGCGTGAAAGAAAATCTTGGAAACGGCCCGCTGCATTGCTGCGCGGGACGCCTCGCCGGCGATAAACGGCCCATCGCCGCTGATGAATTGCGGCTCGATATCAGCCTCATGAAATGGCTCAGGGTCATAGCGCTGAAATTGATTTTGGTAGATCTACAGATCTGTTAGTATGAGAGCTAAACCAGTAGAAAGACTTTAAATGTCGCCAAATAACTGCTGGTCATATACATACCTGTGTCTGAATTTGCATTTGCTTCACGACACCGATCTTCGAGCAGATCTTCCGTGTTTCTTGAATCTGGCGCATGTTGGACTCCATGCGCTTAGTCAATTTGCTCGTCGGCGACACGAAGTGGCCTGCAGGAACAAGACGCAAGAACTCTTCATTTTGGTTCACGACCTGGCCCTCGTCGTCGACAACCCACTGCAAACGTAACGGGATATCAGGCACGATGCTCTCGGGTTCGTAGTAGTCGGGGACAACTTTCTCAACATCATCTTCCATCTCGGCGAGAGTAGTTTCTGCTGCTTTGGAAGAGGACGCAACATGCGCTTCCTTGCCAGTGTCTTCTGTCTGGTGATGAGATGCAGGGCCAAGGATGCCGAGGGCCTCTGCTTGCTTGGCGCCCTTGAGATACCAGCGCATGCCCGCCTTGTTGCGCAACAGCGCCGGCTCATCGACATTGAGTTTGTTGCCAAGGAAGAGTTCGTAGCGCTGTTTGGCGATCAGGGCGCGGTCCTTTTTAGTGACCTGCTTCCAGATCTTATACGCTTCGTCCTCATATGTCTGCTCAGCCGCCTCGTTGAGAGCGCGATTGAGCGCCGCCATACCATTATTGCCGTGAACAGATGACGAGGCATCGATGTCCATCGCGTCGACATTGCCCAGGTGTCCGTTGAGCCCGCTCGGTGTCAGGGATCCTGTCCCACCGGCAGCTGCGCCCACGGGTGTAGAGAAGCCATTGCTGCCAGTATCGGCACCCCCAAAGTCAGAGCCTTCGCGGCCTGTTTTGGCAAGAAGACCGTTGAGTTGTAGGACCGGCTTCTGGTCAACACTTGGCGTGCTCTCCTTTTGGTCACCACCAGCACCCGTTGACGATGACATCATAGTTGTTGTACCACCAGCACGCGACTTATTTGCGACACCCTTGGCTCCTGTCTTGCGACCACGTGAAGACATTATCGGCTCGTCGTCGCTGTCGTCGCCGCCATCGTCGTCGCCACCATTCTGCTTGCGCCGTTCTTCGGCCTCAACCTCGGCGCGCGAGCGAATAACCAGGTCCGGGATTAGTGGAATCAGCTTTTCGGCCTCCTTGCGCATGCCTGTCGCCATGCGGCGCAGCGGATGGCCAGCGTCACGGTTGTACTTCAGGCAATTGTCCCACACCAAGTTAAGATCCGCAACAAACTCGGCTTTGGACTTAAACTGAAGGCCTTTGAGTTTCTTTGTCATCGTGCCGAGGTCCATTGGCTGCTTGACATAGAGGTGGTAGTCGGGCGCCTCACGTTTGTTGACGCGTTGTAAAAAGGGAGTGGAGTACTCGGTGTGCGCCTTCAGCTCGCTGAGCACCTTGTCCAGGGCCTCGTATAGCTCTTCTTGGCCAACATTTTCCTCACTCGCCCACTTGCTGCGGTTCTTACGCACTTCGTTGATCAGCGAGCGCAGTTCTGCGTCAGTGGCCTTGACCTGGTCGCGCTTCGAGTCGATGCGGGCAATCAGGTGCTTGAGCGTCAAGCTGGATGCGCCAAGGTTGGCACTGCTAAGAGTTCCTTGGTTGGGGCCAGCTGCACCGTTGGGACCGTTGGAGCCGTTCTTCTCCATCTCAGCTTGGATTTGCTTCTCGGATTCCTCTAGCTGCTGTTGCTCCAACATCGCCGTGCGGTCGTTCTCGAGGGTGTGGAAGATGGTGAAGAAACTGCGCCGGGCAGCCTCCTCGGTGGCATTGCGTGCTTCTTCGAGCTCCTTGCGGACGTCTTCCGAGGATTTTACTTGGGATTGTTTCTGGTGTGACTGTTGCTGTGATTGCGATTGTGTGCGGGAGAGGGATGAGGATGTGGCGTTCAATGCCAAGGCTTCGTCTCGTAATAATGCGTGCTTCACGCCAAACTGCTTGTCGGGAGAGCCAACCGAATGGACGGGCGAGCTGCCGGTCTTTGATGGCGAAAGAAGCTGTTGTGGAGGCCCGGACCCGTTGCCAGATGTCGGCCCAGAACCGTTTCCGGTACCATTTTTTGAGTCGGCACCGTCGTTGCCGGCCTCGTCTTCATCGTCATCATCGCCGTAGTCGTCTTCGTCAATGACCCGCTTCGCTTTCTTCAGTGGTGGCTCGTGTATTGGGGCATGGTCGGTTGTGGGCGGAGGAAGATGGGGATGGTCGAGGCGGTTAGCGGACGGACGTGGCGGTTGCATCAGTGCGCGGATGGAATCAAAGTCGTAGCCGCCATCGTCGGAAAACAGTAGAGCCACACGAGCTTCGGTTTTGCGATAGAGCTCGGCAAACACGGCGCGTCGCGAGTCTTCTTCGGCATCGGTTGACGTTGTGAAAGTTGATGCCTCAGGCATCGAGACGGGACCTGGGTTGTTGTCGGCGCCGGCAACGGGCGTATGTGTGCGCGTCGGCGCATCATCGACGACGGACACCATGATGTGGTCGATGCGGGTGCACACGCAAAAAAATTGTCACGATAAAAGGGTGGTTGTCAATGGCGGTTGCTGGGGGAGTGGATGCGCGCAGTGGTAACGCAGCATCGCCAAAATGCGGCGGCCAAAAAAATAAGGAGCGTAAAATCCGCGTGAAATGGGCTCGCGTCCACAGGGACGCCCAAATCGGACGGAGCCTCTACAAGACCACTAGGAGAAAGCGGCTCATTTGCAGAGATGGAGGACGGAATTTGAGGCCGTTCGGAGTCGATGTCGACGCGGCTTGATGGATCGCAATAGGCCGATTTTGTCGTTGTTTCTGCGGTTGAGGTTAATGGAGACTTTTGGTGCTGCGCGAAGGCGCCAGTTTTCCTGCTTTGCGGCAGTACCGCCAACCAGTGTAATGAAGTCGAGTAGTAGTACTTTTACGCCTGAAAAGAAGCCAGCCGCACAGCAGAAAGCTGCTCATTTGGTGAAATAAAAATAAGGTGAAACAATTACCATATTTTATTATATGTATTTCTGATTTTCATTTTCGATTTACAGCTTTTCTTGAAGAGAACTAGCACAATCCAGGATCATGATAAAGTACTGCTACTTACGGCAAACTGCCGAAGGCCAAGGTCACGTGTTAAATAGGGGGCTTTGCGATGTCAATATGGACCACTGCCCCGGAACGTGCTGTCCGGAGCGCTGTGAAAAAACAGACGCACTGTATTATGACGCCAGTTGACGTTCGTCTTGTTGGTGAATCTGTATACGGTTCCTGAATGTTACAATGCAAGACACACTGTGATTCAAGGCCTCTCTTGTTCTAAAACAAAAAGTTTCGTTATTATTGTCTGTTGCTACGGTCGACGCTCTATTGTCTCCATTATGACATCAGATGAAAGTACTCCCAGAAATGAAATATCGTTATACGCTCGTCAAATTGGAGCAAAACTCGATTGTAAGTTGCGTTGGTGGTGTTGGTCAGGTCTTTGCCCGTTTGAGAACAATACGGAGTTCATCGTAAGTCAAACTGCAGACCCTGTTGTTCGGTATATGCTGCACAGCGTGTACTCCGTACTACTAAACGAGGACCTGTTTGAAACAAAGCTCGTGTACATACATATCGTTTTGTCGACTAGCTTACTTACGGTCTTGCCATACAGTGTAACATGGGGTATTCTGACTTTGGCACTAATAATCGCCGTCGTATCGCTTCGCATCCTAAACCAAAACAGCTCCCCTCTCCAACCTCTTCCAGATGCTCCCACATATCCCAATGTACCTTTCAGGCATCCGACAACAGACTGCGACGTCCGACAGCGACAAACTATTCTTCTTCTTCCAGCCGACATATTTGCGACCTCTCCAAAAGCAATCCCACGACTTAGCGACCAGCCGACTCTACCTCTCACTAGCGTCACATTACCTCCTAGGCAGCTGCGCCTGAAGCACCTGAAGCACCTGAAGCACCTGAGGCTCTACAGAAGCTCCTCGAGAACAGACGAACCCAAATTGAAGACAATCCATCACAACCAGAAATCATGAGAATACGGCTGCCCTTTGCAGGTGTGCAATAGAAACGGGGATTCTCCTCCTGTTGTAGATATGGAGGATACAGGCGGATACCATCAGCACCCCACTAATTCATGTATGTCGCAGGCATCTTCTTCCTGCTCCTGCTGCTTGCCGGCTATGCCGGCCTTAGCTCACTGCAGCTCGGCGACATTGTCAACGACAAGATTCTACATTTTGTAACGTTCTTCCTTTTGACTGTCGCCTTCTACTGGATCGTCGACACCAGCCGCAGGCGCACAATGAACATGGCACTCGCAGTGTGCACAGGTGGCCTGGGCGTCGGGTCTGAGGTGCTGCAGGCGCTGCTGCCCGACAACGGCCGCGTATTTGACGCCATGGACATTGTGGCCAACGTCCTCGGTAGCTTGGCAGCGCTGGGCCTGTGCTCATGGTACCACAAGCGGATGCTGGATCGCAAGCGGAACCGCAAATACGCCGCCGTGCCGGGCGAGGAGGGCCACGGCGATGAGGTATTGGCTGACACGTCGGTTGTTGACATTGAGCTCGGCGAGGGTGTCGGAGACCAGTCGACGATTTTGCACGATGGGGGCAACGGCGAGGTAGTGGGCACATTTCCACCCGCCAAGCCTTTGACATCACCTGCCGATGTGCCGACAAAATCTACGGCTGCCGGGGCTGCTACCTCTTCGACTGCGGTCCGGGGCACGACTTTGGAGGAAGAGCTTGACAACTGGGATGAAAACGCCGAAGATAACTGGGACGCGGACGATACCGGCGACATCGGTGAGGGCAGCGGAACGGCGAAAAAGCGGACCGATTAAACGAGGAATATATTTCCTAGCTGTGCTGTCTTCTTTATTATTTTATTTTTCAGGTCGGGGTTTGACTAATGGCGTCATATTTCGCATCGCCATCCAATATTGGCTCTTGCCACTCAATCGGATGACCTGCTGTTTTATGTGATTGGATAAGAAGGCGTTGCTTTGATCACACTTATGTTATACTGAAGTTTGACGAGATTAAGAATGACGATGCCGCTGAACAAACTGGAATCTGTTTATGAAATCCTCCTGGTGTGGATTGAAATTATGCATTAATAGTACTGTGTGCACGAGGATCACTGTGACATAACATATGCATGCTTCTCTACCAACCGAACGATTCGTTATGCCACCACACAAATCTGCCACGGTGTACCCACATGGAAACCGAAGCCCGCAGATCCTGTACCATGGCTTCCGGCCCGCACACTAACACGGCGACACGTTCTTCACTACCGTGACGGAACACGTCGTCAACGATCTGGGGGAAATCGGGCCGCTGACGGTTTGACGCTCCCGGAGGCACGAATCGACTTTGCGGGTAGGACTGCGGACGGCGGTCACGGGGCGAAGTTACCTGCTGGTCCCGGCGAAGTGTGGTCAACTCGATAGCGGCTTCAGCGGCACTATTTTCCACCACAGCTGCTGAACCTGTGCCGCCGCCTGTCAAGAAAATATGCACATTCCGATCCTGTAACAAACTGTGGCCACTTCCGTCCTGGCCCGATACAACTGCCCAAGTAGCATCGCCAGCACCACGGACAGACCAAACCAGGTCGACTTTGAGGCTTCCGCCATTCCGAGTCGCGGCGGTTTCATCGATGATGGACCGGTAAAGAGGAACGACAAATGTGGCGCCGACACCACCAGCGACCAGCAGAACACGATCAAAATTGTGGGGAGTTAGTTCCGGGAAGTAGGCGCTTGACCCGTACGGGCCCTCGAGGTTGACGGACATCGTCCCGGCACCCATGTTTGAAGCCGCACCCAGGTCATGGGTTGTCGGAATGGCCGGAGTCGTTTCATCGTCATTGTCCTCTTCGGCTCCGCCGTCCTCGTTCTTAGTAAGTTGGACGGGACCGGCGTGTCGCGAGAGCGCTGCTGACATAGGCCCCTTGCGAGCGCGGACCACTAGAGTTAAGTCGCTCGACTGGTCGTTGACGGTGGCAATAGTAAAAGGATTGAAGAGGAACTCGAATAAGATACTTGTCGGAGACAGGGGGTTGGTCGATGGCCGCGCCGAGCCGGGAAGGCTCAAATACACATGGCTGCCAGGGTGCTTCCGGTACTTGTCCAGCTTAGAAAATGGAATGGGCGCCGTCAGTCGGATGAGCTCAGTGCCCGGTATCATCTCAATCCGGGCTTCCGTTGTTACCGTTTGAATCTTGCGGAAAGTCAGGTCGGCGATGAGCAACAACAAGGCAGCGGCAACGTAATTGCTGGCATATCTAGCGTGGAATATCACCAGGACGGGAAGCGCAAACGCGACGGAAACGTGCGTTATGAAGAAGACGCGGTACGACCAGCGGCGCACAATGGACAATGCGGTCGTGGTGAGCAGTGTCATGCTGAAAATAGCAGCTAGGCCTAGGGCGACAACTGGCCGCAAGAGGCGTGCCCAGAAGTTGCCCAAGAAGGCAAAGAAGTTGAGGTAAAATGTAGCGTGCAACAGCAACATTGTATAGATGATGGTGCCCAGTACACGGTGCCATCGGTTGACCTGCTCATGCGACGTGCCGAAAATGGCTAGCACGGGGCTGACACAGCGCAAAGCCAACACGTACTGCAACGGCAGTTGGGAAACTGCAACGATGCCAAAACGCTTTGTGAGGTGCATGTAGTCTAGGGCTGTCAGTATGTTCCTTGGGTTTAAAATCATCACGATGGGCAAAACGCACCTCGTCCGGTTTCGACAACACACAGCACCAGAAGAATGGCCATCCACGAACCGCCGCCCACCCATAAGTCACGCTGGCCGAGGTGCTGGCCAAAAATCACGACATCGTCCGATAGCCACCACTTGGCCCGACGGTACCATGTTTCCCAGCTGCCACGGGTCGTGAGTCGGCGCGACTTGAGCGAAGGGGAGTCGGGGACGGCGTCGTAGCGGGCGATGGACGACGATGATCCTGGTGAGCCTCGAGAGGAGCCACCTAGGCTCTGACCATAGCGCATCCGCACAAAGGCCACAGTCCACAACGTGACGCGAACAAGTAGCATCACGACTATCGGTGACACGGAAAATAACGCGCCGTAGTGTCCATAACGATCAAGGACAAGACGTCGGGCCTGGCGCTCCTCGGGGCTCAGCTCAAGGAACTCCCAAGGCCAAGCCATGTTTGCTGTCCCCACGAAACGGGGAAGGCGATGTGAAACGAGCTAGGCCTTACAAGGGAAAAAAAAAAACAGTCTAATAGTCTATCAGCCGCTCACGCCAACACCGTGAGAAGATGACAAAAGATGTAGCTGGTGGGAAGGTAATTTGTTGTTGTGTTTTTGTCTGCTTGCTGCGAACTGTCCGCACGCTTTCGCATATTCCGGGTGGCGAACCGTTTGGACAGAAAAGACTTTATAAACCTTATTGTTTTTGTCTCGTGCTCAATGGGCGGGAGCCGTCAAGTGCAAGGGTATTGCCAATAGTTGTCGCCTCGGAAAAGAAGCCATCTTGCAACAAGATCCGAGCGGCGGCTGGCAGTGGCTGTCTTAGCACGGATGGAGCTCCTTCGTGTTCCTGGGTTGTTCCTGCCACCGAACAAAACGACCGAATTGCTTGTGCCAAATCGGGTATTCCCAGGGGAGCTAAGGCTGAAACGGGCGCTGATTGGCTGCGCTAGGCACCTACGCCCTGTTGTGCAAGACCTGTTCACTCGCGCCTGCCATTAGAAAAATACGTCGTGCCTTCCCTGATTTATAACGTGGACTTCGGTGTCCGACTCGGGCCAATGCTGGGAAGGAACTGTGGAAGTGCTGTCGTCAAACGTCTCCCCAAATCGGAATGGCTATCACAAATTACCAACATTGACATTCTCTGCACGTTGTGCCTTGAAACACGGATCCAACAATCAGCCTGCCTCGACAACGACGAAAATGCACGCTTATGCAGTAGAACTTGTCGTGGCACCCGGGCGGTCCGCTATCGGCTGCGCATAAGCCGCGCTAGGTAGGTGCTGCCATAGATACCACTTTTTTTTAAAGAAGCTCAAGGGCTTCTTATATCAGGACATTTTCTTCGGCACATGCCTTCTACTTTGTTCACTCTCTCATCGATCTATTTTCAAGCTTCATTGTTCGACTTACACCAAACTGCCACCTTTCGCCACCGTCAGCCAAAATGCCCTCCAAGGAAGCTGTCCTCACGGCCAACGCCCCGGCCCCGTTGCCTGTCCTCTCTCAAGCTATCAAACTGAACGGCATGGTCTACTGCTCTGGCCAGGTCGGCACTGATCCCAAGACCGGCCAGATGACCGAGGGCAGCGTCCAGGACAGGACAGTAAGTAGGACCAGTGGACACTCCGGCAGGATAGAGATAACATAGACATGGCGAACAGGCATACATTGTGGGCGAGCAGAAGCTGACAAACCCTAGAGACAAGTCTTAAAAAACCTCAGCGCCGTCCTAGAAGCTGCCGGCACGAACCTGGACAATGTTGTCAAGGTCAACATCTTCCTTACGTCCATGGCCGATTTTGCCGCAGTTAACGAGATCTACTCGGAGTTCTTCAGCTCCGATCCTAAACCGGTGTGTTCCACTCGTTAGCCCATCGTCGCTCAATATATGAAAACAGATCGCTAACCGCTCTATGCCCAGTGCCGCACGTGTGTTGCCGTTCACCAACTTCCCCTTGGAACGGATGTTGAGATCGAATGCACTGCAGCCTTGTAGGAAATAACTTCAGTGACTAGCAATAACTGTGCTAACCAAGACTGTGTTTGGGAGATGACAACCACAAAGGGTCAGTATGCAGGCAAGGTGTATCGTCACTATCATGAATAAAAAAACACAAATAAATAGTCCATGAGAGCCGGTCGCGGCTGTAAAGTGGTACTTTGCTTGTGAATATTTAACAAAATTAATCGCAACGCAGCATAAATAGCTAGATGCACTATAAGCGCCGACAGACACAAAGCACAGGTCGCGGCCAAACCTATAATGCTCTGGAAAATATTCAATTAAATGAAATGAGCTTTGCGGCTTGTGTCCACCACCTACCCGTAGTAATGAAATGCCGATTGTGCGCGAGTATGCTCTCGCAAGTCAGTTGTGCTGCAATGTCTAACTTACGACATACTGAAGGTTACGGAGTAATTACTGACCGGTGGATACCTAGCAAGCTAATCCACTTTTCCTACCCCAGACCGCCCCCCAAGCTTTTCAATTGTCTCTATTCTAAGGCACCTTAAAGTAATACAGCAGCCAGCTTTCCTGGCCAGCCTTACGGAGTATCACCAACATATTTCTCACCAGAGCAAGCCACGCGACCACCAACGACCGCATCCCCCCAACAGGCGATGCGATGACACCCATAACGCGATTGTGCGCTGTCCGCGCCTCCATGCTTCTTCCAATCTTCAATGGCCGCGCACTCGCGACCGCTGGCAAGCCGTCGGGCTTCATGCCCTCTGTGGTCGCGGCCTACAGCAGCAGTTGCCACAGCAAGTACCATAGCACCTACCACAGCTGTGGCCTCCCGTTACGCCCGACTGCCACGACTCGGTCAGCCACTCCATACACCCGCACGCGGCCAACAGCTGCGTTCGCGGCCCCCCTCGCACGCCCGGTGTCCAGCTCTTCGACCTCCCAGTCCGACCCCAGCGCCGCCGCTGCCACGGCCCCGACCCTTACGCCTTCTGCGGCCAACCCTCCACATACCACGCGCCCGCCGCCGCTCACGTTGCCGGAACGGAAGCCCGAGACATCGACTTTTAGCCATCTGTTGGCCACGGGCAAAGCCTACCTCGCCTTTTACAAGACGGGACTGCGGTACCTATTTGCCAACACGAAACTCGTGCGCGGCATGGACGCCAACAACGACACCGCTGACGCCGTCAAGGCAGGCCACGCGACACGGTCGGATCTCTTGCTGCGTCGCCGCTGGGGCCACGACATGCGTCGCCTGCCGCTCTTTGGCCTGCTGCTGCTGATCTGTGGGGAGTTTACGCCGTTTGTTGTGCTAGTGTTCCCCCATGTGGTGCCCTACCCTTGCCGGATCCCCAAGCAGGTCGAGCAACTGCAGCGCAAGGCGGAGTCTCGGCGGCAATATGCGTTCGTGGCATATGAAGAAGAGACAGTGGCATCGGCGCCGACTACGGAGACGACGATACGAAGCCGTCATGCCACGGCTGCGAGAGACGTGCTCATTAGCCGCAGCTTGGGCCTGATTGCACCTTTCTGGGACCGCATTGGCCTTGTCAGCGGCGTGCCGGGACTGGCCCATCGTGCCGTTGAGCGTCATCTCGCCTTCCTGGCCGAAGACGACGCACTCCTTCGCCAGGCTGGCGGTGTGCTGGCATTGGAACCAGAGGAGGTGCTCTTGGCCAGCGCTGACCGTGGCCTCGACGTAGTAGGTCAGGACGAGGGCCGGCTGCGAGAGAGGCTGGTGCGGTGGCTACAACTTACACAGCCCCAGAACAATGACGTCGACGGCAGCGATGTACACGAACAGATGCTCACTCTGCTGACGAAGCGGCCAGAGACGTGGCCGCCGAAGAAGATATAATCAGCCTTAGGTTCTTGTCGCATGGACTTGTGTTATGTTCCTTGTATTATAGATTTTGCCACACTTGTTTTACATGTTTTTCATCTCCATACGAACATCAAAAGGCATGGAAATATGAGCGAGACTTGGGAGGTACATATTTGGATGGACAAAAGACGACGGGGGCATAATGCGAGTTTGGGACTCCTTGTCACACATATCATCACACCGGAATGTGATAGGATAAAAACAACGCCATGGATAGTGCATGCACGGAACGGACTTTTCATCACTCATTTATGTATCCATTATCTCCTTGAGAATATCTTCACAATTTTGTTCTCTGCATTACATCAACTGGTTCCTTGTGCAATGTATCTTCATCCATCTTCTCTGCGACTGGACGAGTGCAAGGTCGCATCACTGCCGTGGCGGGACAAAATGAGCCATGAGAGCTTGGAGAGCCTGTTCATCGAGCCCTTGGGGCGCGGCAGTCTGGTACCCGGTTGGTACAGGTTGTGATGCAGTGAGACCGCGGGCATATGGAGCAGTCGTTGATGCATACGCAGATGGTGCAGTGGTAGGGGACGCAGTTGACGCTCCAAGTGAACTCAGCAATGCAGCGAGCTGGGATTGTTGTGTAGCATTGTTATGCGGTGCATACTGAGCCGCTGCTGGAGGCTGTCCATAAGTCGTCGCAGGAGAAGGGGCAACGGTAGGAGTGGCTTGCGTTGCTTGCATTGCACCAAGGAGCTGCGCCAGGGCGGTATTGTCAAGCTGGCCGACCAGTGAGGCCAAGTCGATACCATTTGTGGGTGCTGTGGTGGTAGCAGGGGCGACAGGTGAGTACCCAGCTGCTTGCGAGGGTGCATATGGCTGGCCATGGCCAGGTGCGCCTTGGTAGCCTTGCGAGTAAGGCGCTTGGTGTGCATGATATTGTGGAGGTTGTTGGATCACCGCAGCGGATTTCGCTCTAAGGACAACATCGGCGGCAACTGATGGTGCAAGGTCTTGGTAGCCATCAAATCGCACGTTGCTAGCCCCGGCCTGGCGATTGAAGACCTGCAAAGGGATCTTGCCATTGGCCTGTTCCCGGCTGTTTAGATCAACGACGGCGATGACCCCTTCCAAAATGTGTACTTGAATGATAGAGTCGCGTGGCGGCGTGTGTGAAGTCAAGAAGATCACGTCCGTCTTCAGTCCGCGGTCCTTGAACGGCGCTTGTGCCCACTTGATGAACTCGCGGTCCAGCCCTTGTGCAACTAGGAACTGTACGTCGGGCACATCAGCACCGTACCGCGTCTTCAACAGATCCGAACTGCCACGGCCATTGCTGTTCCTGCTTCGGCTATATGGGCTTGGTGAGCGGCGAGCGCGATATCCTCTACGGCCGTCATCATCGCCACTGTGTCGATAAGGCGACCTCGACCGGTCGCGGGATCGGTGGCTATTGTCATCATGGCCCCCTCGTTCTGAGCCATATGGGCCGTTCCGACCATACCCTTGGCGAGTAGATGTGTCATGTCCGCCATGCGAGTCAGAGTAGCGATCGCCTGCCGAGTGTCGGCTATTATCTTGGCTGCGGCCGTCATAACGATCTGCCTCTCGATTTCGGCCGCCTCTGTTTCTTGTCCGCTCAGGTGAACGATCTTTGCCGCCCCGCGCGCGGTCATGTTCACGACCTTGTCCAGCATCCCGATCGCGACCCTTGTCTTTCGTCTGCAGTTTCGAGATTTCCAGGTCTAAGGCTATGTTAACAAAGCGCATTGAAAATTGCAAATAGGGCAGATGCTGCAACGTACGAATCTTCCGCCCACGGATCTCGGCGCCTTCAAGTTCTCTCATGGCCGCTGACGCCTCCGCCACAGAGTGGTATTGGACAAACCCATACGCCGATTTAATCGCAATCTGTGCTAGACGGCCATATCGGTGAAACTTCTCGAAAACATCACGCTTGCTGACTCGCTCTTGGGACAGATTTCCTGTACAGTTGTTAGATATTTCTCATCTCGATGACAAAGAGGGCCACGAGATCCAGGACAACCCAGACAGTCAGGACTACATACCAACAAACATGCGCGAGCCTTCAGGAAACGCCTCCCATTTACCCTCTGCAACATGTATCTTCTCTTCATTCAGAAACGCTTGATAGGCCCGGTCTACAGCGGCCTTTTCACGCGTATTATTCGCTTGTCGAGGAGCAGCCGGGGTCTGGCCCTGGGCAGCACGAGCAGTTTGACCGCGTCTGCCACCACCGCCGGCTGGGAGCTGCGGAGGAGCAGCCAGGAAAGCTGCACCGCCAGTACTTCCAGGCACGGCTACACCGGGTGGCTTCGGGAGGTTAGGGTTGTTTTGGTGTCTCCCAGTCATACTAGCAGGACCAGTGGGAGGTCGTGGGAAGGGCTTGGAAGGACCTTTGGGTGCTCCAATGGGAGCCTGTGATGCACCTGCAGGCGGTTTAGCAGCATCGGCTGAAATAGCATCTATCATCTTGTCAAAATCTAATCCCGGGCCACTGCCATTCTCCGAGACATGAGCCTTTTCGTCAGCGTCCACCGAAGCGGCCGATGTGGCTTGAGGCTGGAGAGAGGACGTAAACGACGACTCAGTAGGGCAGCCTGGGAGAATTTCGCCTGGCTCTCCCGTGTCGAGCATGGCGATATCGTCGATGTAAGGAAGAGGAGACGGGGATCTGGCCACGGCAGGGACTGCGGAAGGAGCATCCTCGGCAACAACATCAACATCAGCGGCAGTCAAGTCAACATTGAGGGCATCGACTGCCTCTCTTCTGACATCTTCGGTGTCATTAATTTCATTGACATTGTTTGGAAGAAGCGATTCAGCATTCTTTGTCTCAGCCAGAGGCGAGGCGGAAGAAGGCGATGCATCAAGAGGAGCAGCGGAGGCATAAGACGCATGTACGGCGTCAGCTGTATCTCTTTGGTCAGCATCAGGCTGTGGACTCTCTAAAGTACCTTGTGCAGCAGACTCAGTGTCGCCTGTGCCGAGTGCTGTTTCATCCGATGACGATGGCGGCGCCACTGCAGAGCCTTCCTTGACCTCGGCCTTGCCCTCACTGACACCGCCGGCAGCGCCAGCGTCTTCAGCATTGCCGCCACTGCCAGCATCATGGACGCTACTGTTAGGAGCCTCATAAGGTTCATCAACACCGTCAGCTTCGGTGTCATGTGTTGTATCGTTCACATCGATAGTTTGGTTGTCCTCGGCAACGGCGACAGCAAATTCGGCCTCGGAAGAGGCTTCACCGTCGCTGTAAAGATCGCCACTGTCGTCTTCGGGCACGTCCTCGGTATCAACAACAGCATCGACTTCGGGAAGCGCGTCGTTGAGGATGACGTCGGAAGCTGGAGCTGCCTCGTCAGGAGTGGCTTTGGACGTCGAGGACATTTTGAATGCGACGACGGCGCGACGACGGTGCGACGATCTGGTGGGAGAGGTAAAAGGAACGATTGTCGAATGACTTCGCAAAGGGCTCAGAGGGCAGAACAAGTGCGGCAGGGGAGCCGCTTGCGAGAGAGCGCAAAACAAAGCCGGTGCTGCGCGGGCAAGACAAACGTGATGAACAAGTGAGACAGTGCGATTGTATTGGGCAGTGTGGGCACTGGCTTCACCCAAAACTGTTCTTACGACGAAAGGGCGTTTGGTGCTTGCGAAATCACAGGACAGGTGATTCACAGCGGAAAGGGCAATGGGCGTGAGCCACAAGCGGGCAAGACGACGCGGTCTCTGTGTTACGCAAAGAGCAAGGAAAGAGCGGGTTCAGGCAGATGGATACCCAAGAAGGCAGGCGCGATGGCGGGTTCGTTTGCGAGCAAGGAAGGCGCGATGAAGAGGACGCTTCGATGCGCGAAATGGAAGGAGAGATGCAAAGAACGACTTGCGCTAATTACGGACTATGCGGAAAGAGTTGGAAGGTAATAACGTGACTTGAGAAAGTCAAGAGAAGGACGGAATATGCGTGGTGGCGGAGACGGTGACGGTTCTCGTAAGGAAAGATGGCAGCGCGACAAAGGACATGTCGCGATGGTCAAGTTTTTTTTGGTCATTTTACCGAGAAGGAAATCACGAGGGGGATAAAAAGGAGGGGGAGACGCGGCCTGGGGACTGACACCAGAAGAACCAGCCACAAATAATTACACTGTAAAGTGCCGCGTCTGTTGCTGTGACTCTCTAAAACGGTCCACTAATTTCAGCCCAAACCCTTCTACGGAGTAATTACTGCGGCATAATTCGTACAGGCTCCAACCACGGGCCCTGCTGCAAGAATATTTTGAATTTTATCCAAATAGCCATATTCTACTACACAGTTATGCTCAAACAAATAACTGGGATTCGCTAACGTCGCCACAACCTCAGCGGGTGTTCCCTGGTGCCGCCGGTGCCGCCGCCGCCGCCGCCGCCGCCGCCGCCAGAGCTCTCTCAAAGCACTTGCGCAGCGCAGTCTCCTCTTCCAAGCCAACACTGACACGGATCAAGTCCGGGTCGACGCCCAAGCTGGCACACCAGTCCAGCTCCTGATAGTGTGCCAGAACGACGTAAGGAGACGTCAGTGTGAAATTTGTACCTAGGGAAGGACCCTTTGCTGTTTCGACGGCATCGTAAAAGGCAATGGCTTGGGCCTTGGTCTGGAGGCTGAACGACAACAAACCACCGTAGCCGCCGATACGGTGAGCAGCACCGGTGGACGCGGGGCCTTCCAACGCGGCACCGATGCGGCAGGCCTCATAGTTGGCGCGGGTGGGGCCGTACTTGGGGTAGTTGAGCTGTTTGACCAGAGGGCTCGCGCGCAAAACATCACAGATGGCCTCGGCGTTGGCGTTGATTCGGTCAACGCGCGTGGTAAAGTCGCGGCTGTTGCGCTCCATGAAGATGGCATCTTCGGGCCAGTAGGAGTCGGGGTCATACTCGGCGGTGGCAGCCTCCTTTAGTTTGGCATAGGTGGCCTTTTGATGACGGTTCAGGACAAGACTTCCACCCATGACGTTGCAATCGCCCGAGAAAATCTTGGTCAGGCTGCTGACCACAATGTCGGCAAAGGGCAGCACGTTGACATTGGCAAAAGTGCCTATGGTCTCGTCGACCACGACGCAAAAATCATACTCGTCGGCGAGCTTGCGGATGCGAACCAGGTTCGGGCAGGTCAGCAGTGGGTTGCCAGGGAACTCGCAGAAGAGGCCAAGGAAGCGCTCGCCCTCCTTGAGACGCTTCTCGAGATCGTCGAGATCGGCCTCGGATGCGTGGCCGTAGAAAAGGCAGCCGGCGCCAAACTTCTCCAAAATTTTGAGTGTGTCCACATATGGGAACCCAAAGTTGATGCTTTTCAGGTGGGCATGGTCCGGGCGTGCACGCAACAGGAACCGGTGAGCGCTGAAGATGGCATTCATGCCGCATGGAAACAGGTAGACATCGTCCTCCTGGACGTCCGCAACACCGCGGGATTTGACATCCACAATGGCCGAGGCTGGCGGCGGCGGTGCGCGGCTTTGTTCGAGGTCAACATCGTTGTCGGCTGTCATAGCACCAGTGATGCGCCGTATAATGGCAGATTTGGCACGGCGGACGAACGACAGGTCAAGGTTCCGCCCAAAACGCTCCTCAAGGAATCTTGCTGTCTCTTCCTCGTCTTCTTCGCCGGCGCCACTGTTTGGCGAAGCAGGGCGGCTGTTGCCGTGGCCGTTGCTGTTTCCATTAGTAGCCGTGGCAGCCGGGATGGTGGTGTTTTGTGACGCGGCGGGTGCAACGGGAGACGCTGGAGTTTCGCTCTGCGACATAGGTCGGCGGTACCGTTTAGGACCACGGAATGGCTTCACGTCGGGCACCACTTGGGGCGCAGGGCTCGGGACAGACGCAGTGGCCGACGGAGGCGACGTAACCGCACCAAATACAGGGCCGTCGTCTTCCACGCGTACCAAGAGGCCCTCGCTGAACAGCTTGTGGCAGTATTCAGCACGGCGACTTGACACACCATCGCCGGAGTGTTGCCAATATTGCTTGGCAAAGGGGAATGCACTCGGCTGCATGATAACGGCCGAGATAGTTGGCGCCAGTGTCTGGAACGATGCGCTTTCCGGCTTGGACGAATCAAGGCCCAGGTGGACGACATGGAGGCCGTCCAAGGACGAAGGCTCCGTGGCATGCTTCTCAATGAAAGCCTTGCACCGGGCGGCGGCCGCGCGACTGGGGAAAAGAATGGCCGTCTGACCAGGCTGGCCAAATCGTGCAGCGATACTCGCGGCAAACGCCTTGATGAGGTTGTGGATGAAGAATCTGAACGGTGTCAACAAGCTGCCCAGGCCACGTCCACAAACAAGACCGTCCTACAGGACACTGATATGCGTTTCAACGTACCTCGGGTAGCCGGTGACCATCTTTGAAAGAACCCATGCCTCACCCTCCTCATAGCCAACATTTGCTTTCCAAGTCGGCAGAGACACGCTCACGGCCTGGTGCATGCAAGTCAACAAAGTGCCCCCAGAGCCTGTACTGGTTTATCACAAAATTCGTATCGGGGATTAAAACCAAAGGACGTACATGAGCCGTGTCGGCCGGAATGGACTCGCCCAGCCCAATAAAAGTCATTGTTGAGTCAGATGCAAAAGCGAGAAGATGGTGCGCGTATACAACAAATCTGGGACAAAATGATTCCAGGCGGCGAGCGTCTCGGAGAGAATCCGGCGTCGTCTAAATTCTCCGGAAGGGCGAATTGTGTTGTGTCAATGACGGTATGTGAGTTTGCCTGAGACACTTTGAAGGATGTTGGTCACCGACAGTAGTAAAATGGTGGCAGCGCGTGAGCGAAGGTGAGATTACGCCAGAAACCCGTTATCCACAAAAGGGGACAGTGTCGATAAAGGCCAGCAAAAAAGTACGAAGCAGTATTGGGCCCAAAAGAAGACGAATCTCTTTTTGCTAGGAACAAGCGCGGGTCGAATGGGGGAGAAGCGACTGGTTAGTCATATGAGTCAACGATTTCCCATGCGGCTATTCGTCGGGTGCATACTTTCTCAACAACAGCTGTTTTTTTAACGTTGTCACACATGATGACATTCATACTATGTTGAACCGGGCCAGCCATGGCTGAGCCCTCTGGCGCAGTATTCTTCTAATTAATTCTTGGTATACGACAGCTGGCGATTGTATTTTTCTTTGTGTGAGAAAGAATGCCATCATTCCAACAATCGCAAAAAGCCTTCCCTCCCATAGCGGCATGGTCTACCGGTGGCTGCCCTTTCCTAGACGCGGCGACAGGACAGAATGAAGCTAAAAAGAAAATAAGCTCCGCTACCGGCGATCGGAGGCCACTTCCACTCCACAACCACACCCGGTTTACTGAATATCGCTGTAGACAATCAGATAGGAACGGAAAGTCGAGGCCTGCATACGACACATATATTGTTCCAGTTGTCATCAGCCTGGTGCCATAATTTTGTGTTACTCTGCAGTGTTCACAACAGTATCTCACGGATGACGAAAGGGCTTTGTATTCTTGATACGTATATTGTCCACGCGCTTACCTAGTCAGCGCCATCCGCCTCACTGAAGAATCTCACAGTCTGACGTGCCTGGATATTAATGCACGAGCATCCTCCTCCCAAAGCTGTCGTCAAGCCGAGCTAATTATGTTACGTCGTACTCCGTTTGAAATACTCCAGCCTCCCTAACGGTGTAAAATGCTTGAAAAGACCCCGCCAAAGCCTGCACGGATGCACCATGCAGGGTGCGAATGGAAGGAGAAACAAAATGTGGTGACATGAATGCGGGTAGTGCGAGAATGCCCTGTGTGGGGGCCAAGGCTCTGTCAATTGTGAGCGCTCAAAGCACACCTTGGAACACTGGGAAAATGGCCACACAACGGATGCAGTGTAAACGATTGTGTATCATTGGAAAACAATAATCATAAACGGTCTCGATCCAATAAAAATGGTTGCCGCAGTTCGTCTAATGTTCAGCCGCCCGAAAGTGTTGTTAAGGCAGATTGCTCTGTTTGAAATATAAATAATACACTCAAAGAAACCCTCGGTCCTTACTTGGTCGTTAGAATGTATATAGGCGCAGAATGCTCGTGTGTGAAACAAAAGAGTAGCCGGAAAAATAAAAATCCAAGTCGTGATCATGAACGAAAGTATCCAAAAACTAGGCACCAGATATAACCCAAGCCAGGGCTAAATGAACAATAAGACGTTCCAGAAACCGTAACATGTAGCCAAAAAGAAGTAGCACTTATACAAGCAAGAACAAAGCCGGGAGGTTTGGCTGTAAGGCACACTCCGACATGCAAAACAATGAAACAACGCCGGAGAGCAACTTAGCGGTGGTGCCGCCGACTGTGGCTGCGGCTTCCCACACAGCTGATACTGTCACTCGGCGCAACGCTGTCGTTATCTTCATCGTACAAGAACCGGTTATCGTCGCCAAACTGGCTGTCATTGTCCCATTGGGGATAGCTACCACCAGCGCCGCTAGGAGGCATGGGTATGTTGCGCGCGGACATATAACTGCCAGAGCGGCTCATACCCTGCCGCACTGGAGCACTGCGGCTTGCGTTAGGCGGAGTCGATGGTAGTCGACTACCCCCACCGCCACTTCCACGGATGGAGCGGTGGCTGCGGGCACCGGACACGTAGTTGTCTGGCTCGGCACGATCTGCGGGTTCAATACCATGGTAGTCATAGGTGGAGCCACGGCGAGACGAAGAGAGTGCGAGCGGGGGGGCCCCTGCCGGCCCGTTCCGAGAGGGGGAGGAGATGTAGCTTCCGCTGCCACGAATCTCGCCGTCTGAGATCATGAGCGGCGAGCGATTGAACGCCGCCTCACTGCGGGCTCGTGACCCTGAGCCGCCAACTGACCCACCACTCGGCCGGTACTCCCGTGACGAAGTGAGTCGACCGCGGCCGCTATCGTAGTTGTGCACATCTTCAACTTCGCGCGTCGCCTTCTGAGACCGTCCTCGCATGCCTCCGTCATGGCCACCATAGCGGCTTCCTGAGTACTCCTGGTACGAATCCGGGAAGGTGGACCGCCGCTGAAACGAAGGAATGGCTGTGGCATTGTCGAACTCGTGTCCATGCGAAGAAGCGCTGCGCGAACGAGAGCTGTTGCGCATGACAGAATAGGTAATAGCAGCGCCAGCGGCGGCGCCGACGGCGGCCATACCGAGCATGCCCGCAGTGCTCATGTTCTTGAATGACTCCCGCGATGAGTAGCGGGACGAAGACGGAACCTCATAAGAAGCCGCGGATGTGGACGTGGCGCTCCGGCGTAACGTGGCCGTACGGCCGCGGCCTCCTTGGTACCGGCTTGAAGACGAGGCCGGGACAACATCGTGGTAGCTGTATTCGTAGGAGCTAGGCATCTCGCGAAACCGTGAGCCGCTGCCAGAGCGGGGACTGAAGAGCTCGGCTGAGGGCGTGTCGTAAGAATAATATAAGACGCGATTGGAGTCGTAGTCGTAGTCGTGTGCTGAGTGGTGCCTAGAAGGCGATCCACCGTAATAAGATGGATAGCTGTACGATGCTGGAAAATAGGCTACCTCCATGGTATTGCCGTCGAAATCGGTGACGCGAGCGCAGATGTCGCTCTGTTCAAGAGAAGCGGCGCCGGCGTTAGCGGTTCCGATTGCGGTGGCAGAATCGCTCTCGAAACTAGCCCGGGTTCCAATAACGGCAGAAGACCGGGGAAAGGCCTTCAAAGCAGCTGCATGGAAGTCGTTGACGGCGTTGAGAGACTTGGCGGCGAGAACAAGGTGCGAAGTGCGTAGTGGCTTGTCTTGTGTCGGGACAACTTGGTGGATCTGGAAAAGTGCCTCTTTGGACCCAACAGCACCATATGACAACGCTGGCTGGGATACCGAGACAATGGTAGGACTTGTTGGTTGTGGTTTACAGGAAAACGACGGCAACAATAGCGAATGTGTTGACGAGGTTTGAGGAACAGCAGGCGGCGATGGGATGTAGCGAATATCCAAAGGCTGAGTGATTGCGGAGTAAAAGGACGACGCCGAAGGCAGACTGCTAACCTCGACAACGGGCTGCATGAGAATGACGAGGAAGGTCCCAAGATATGTAAGTGCGTATTAGGGGTTTGAGTGACCAGAAGGAAACCACTGGTCCCGCCTGTCTTCTGACCAAGCGCTTGCTGGGGATCGACCAGGGGGTGTCGGTTTCGATTGGAAGAGTGTGGTAGCGGAAGAGCACAGGGCACAGGCAGAGTTCCCAGCGGCAAGGCGATAAAACCGCGCGTATCATTCAGTTGAGTAAAAATGATGGTGTGGTTGAAGGAGGTGTGGATCGGCCTCTTGGCTCGGCCAGGGTCGAGGAGCAAAAGCGACGAGCTGGGCAACAGGTCAAAAGAGCGGTCTTTCAGCGGTCGACAGCAGGATCCTCAGGAAAAACGATAGCAAGGGCAGGAAACAAAGCAACTGGTGCGTAAATGGTGCGCAAAAAGAAACGGGGCTGTTGCGGGTGAGCTGAGGCGAGAGGGCTGTGCAGGTCGATTGCTGGGGCGGCCTGTGGCTACTGGATGGCGGCCCTCGCGGCCTTTGCTGCTGAGTCCTTTACGATGTCAATGCCACTTTCGGTTATGACCGTGTTGTTTTTCGGAAGAGAGTGCGAGAGTGTGACGGGCGGCGATGGCACGGCAGGGGCGAAAGCGAGAAAAATGCGTATGCGATGTGATGAGACGCCCGTGAAGTCACAGGGCGGTTGTGTGACTGTCTGGCCCGGGTCAATTGCAAGAGTCTGAATGTGTTCCAGCAAGGAGTGTCGTCTCTTGACGGCTTTCCTGTCGTTCTCAACTGTGTTTGTGCCTTTGCCTCACGCATTGCCAGTCTCGTCTTTCTGATGCGTCTCTCTCACCAGCAGATGCCCGTCTCTTTATCTGCTTCTGTCCGACGTACCCAATATATTCTCTCCAGACCGTAACTTGCAGCGGGTCGATTGCCAGCGCATTGTATTGTCACTGTGGCTCCCGGGCATTCACGCATGCCCAGCTATCTTGTCTCGATAGCCAGGCCATGACTGGCTCAGTCACTTTCCTTTGGGCGTCACGTCGGGTCGACATTATGCTGTTCAGTATTGCAGGGAGTCGACAGGATGTTGTGGCGTGACTGTCTCTGGCCCTTTCTTGCTGGGTCGCCTCAGCACAGTCAATGCGGCCCTGCGGATCTGCTGAACGACGATAAAGCGCATGGGTTAAAGGAAACAAACTATCATCGACCGAGAGCATCCGGTCGCTCTACGCTGTGCCTCTCCACCAATCTCCCAGCCTGCACAACTCTCTGCTATGCACGAGACAAACGGCCGCGTGGTTTCCGGGCGGGCAGCCAATGCGACCACAGTTTACTGTAGTTTCGATCGCTCATGTACAAGTGACATCCATCCGCGTTCCGAGAAGCTTCCTGTTGTTGCCCTGACGAGCCTGGGTCAACTTTGGTAGATTCTGCAGGGGTGCAGTAGTGAAGGCGTGGGAGTCGACGGGATAGAAACGACATAATTGGACGCATATTGGATGCACAAGAAACGGAGGGTGGGTGGGTGTAACCGGTTTTCGAAAGTGCGTGCAGCCTCTTCGAGAGACGTGAAAATAACGAAGGCGAGAACGAAGCGAGAATTTGTCAGGAATGCGCGAAGCGATGGAATACTGGAGTGTCAACCCTCAAGGAAGCTCCTTCTCTTTTTGGCTATACTGGTCTGATACGTTTCGATGTTCCAAGGCCTTCCACGCTCCTTCCGTTTTTTCGCGACCGCGAGCGTTAAAAATGCAGCCCTCCATGCTCTTGTGTCCCGCCGTAACGGCAATATATGGCATCTCACAGCAGGGCAGGAGCCATGCACAAACCCGCACAATTGCAGCCATTCGGCCAGCCAGTGACACATGTACCACGTAACCGCCGGTGGCCGGGAGTAATGGAAAGTCTACAATAACGCCCTGCATCGAGCACATTTCGTAACTCGCGCATGCCGTATCTCAGTCCAAAACCTCCATGGGCACGCATCGCTCTGCCCGTGGCTGTCTCACAGGACATGCCCAACGGCCACCTGATCCTCCCCTTTTCCCCGTTTGGCACCGTAAAACGCCAGGCACAAGGGCAAAGCACACGGGCACAAATTCACTTAGTCAGGAATGCGAGAGGGCCCCGTGCTTCGATGTCATCCGCTTCCGATTTGATTTCATGATAGCCACGAGAGTTTGGGAAAGTTGACAACATCCAGCACGTGCACAACCAAGCCAGACCAGGCAGGCACGTTACAACGCGGCGATGCCTGATCGCTCCTTCCTGTAAACGTACTTTGGAGTCTCCTACCAGTCTCCTTCCGAGCCACAGGACGAAATGGAAGGGAAAACAAGCGTTCCCCAAACTAGAAGCCTCTGTTTTGTCATTTTGCTTTTGTTTTTGGAACGCTGCTGTTAGCACCACCTTTCCCGTCACTGCCGATCCAGACGGGCGCCAACAGCGAAAGCGAACAAAAGGGACAAAGGCCGGGAGGGGAACTACTTGGCTGCTAACACCGCGGGCCGCCCGCCATTAGCTTCAACCACGAGGCTTCTCGGTTCCAACTTTCGAAAGCCAGATAGACTTGCGTCTTCATCCCCGCACGCATCCTTTCCGCCCTAGACGAACCTTCGGCGACCCTGGATGATAAGAACAAACAGTGGATTACGACGTAAGATATGGAGCAACTAGGGGACAGCACGATTGTGTGGGCGCGACAGGGGGCAAACGAGAGGCAAAAGGAAGGACATTCATCACAACATGGCCCCAGGCCAGGCCCTGGCCCGGACCCAAACTGGCTCGACAGGTCCGGCCAGTGGGTGCTAGTGGGAACCAGTGGAAGCCCAGAGGCAAATAGAAGGACCGAACCATCTCGCTCCTCTTACATCCAGTCGCACGCCAATTGCCGTCAGCCCGGCGGAAGCTGGGGGCCAAAATATATACACGTGGTTGGAATAAGGATACGTTTATTTCTCACAGTGCAGCTTGAGCTCTATGACCAGCCTGGCTGGGTCAGGCGAGCCAGGCCTGGCCTCTCAGGGTCAGGGCCCCGTCTGACGAGAAGAGAAAGCGGGGCAACGTCAAGAAGGAAGAATGGACCAGAGTGGAGGATGGACGAACATCTTCTGGATCACATAAAAACACCCGTCGACCAATTAAATTTCAAAGGTGCAGTCTGCCCCAGTTGTCTCCCCCTCCTCAGTCCTCTCTGCCCAACGGTCACAAAACCACATTTTCAACCACAAGATTCGCCAACAAACGGCGAAACAAAACTACATACGACAAACGACATACGATATACGACGTGCAGCAGAAGAACCAGACAGAGCGAAAGCAAACAGTGACACTGAGCTGATGGGGCTGGGAAGCGCTGCTCTGACCTATCAGAACAAGCCCTCATCTAGCTTGCCACTGTGGCTTTTGTTTTCTTGTTGGTCACTGTACGATTGGGAACTCTTATTTGTTAACCTTGATTGCTTTACGTGCATTTTTGCCCTGCTAAGAGCTTGGCAGGCAACTCCACGAAATGTGGCCGGTAATGCGAGATGCTTGACGTGCACTTTCACACTAGGCCGAGGAGTGGGCGTGAAGAGGCCGCCGCGGGTGTCACTAGTGGACAATGACAGCTGGAGTGGATGAGAGCAGTAGTAGCCAACGGGAACGGTGAACAACAGCTCGACATCGTTTCTCCCTTTCGCAGCTGATCCTAAAAGAGGGACGTCAGCGAATGCCAGGTCGAGGACATGAACAAACGCATTTTGTGACTTGTCATTTGTCTCCGCCTTACACTTTGTGTGCCCGGTTTGACCTTTCTGCACTCCGTACATGACCACGGCGGAACGCATCACAGCAAGGAACCAGCGGCGTCAATGGTGACGAGCAACTGCCGCCACACACACGTGAATATTAACACTTAATCACATACGTCAGCATTGGATGCCCTGCTCAGAAACGGGATACTCTTCGATACCTTCCTGTTCGCTCGTTCTGACATCGAAATTTTGTATGATCGCCCGAAATACCACGGTTCCGCAACTGGACTACAAGACGACGAAAGGCGAGACGTGGCATGTGCAACAAGAAACGGGTCTGATCTTTCTGCTAGTCCTCTATAACTGCCATGCCGTCGTACACAACCCAGAACTAATACAACACGAGTCGGGGAGATTCTTGGGCAGGCGGCACGGGCCATCCTTGCTGTACACCAGCTTGATAGCAAGCTGTGGTGTGAAGTGCGTCTCTCCAAATTAGTTACCGGCAACAGTGGTGGCAGGATGGCCGCAGTTCAACCAACCTCCTCCACATTACTTTGTTCTCCATTTACGTATTAATACATCACAGAAGACCAATATCTACACTAAATCAACAAATGGCCCCAGCAGCGGTCCACAGCTCCCACAAATATTGACACTGCCCTCTACACGAAGCTTCTGGTTCTCACATAAAATATTCCGTACCTAGTTGGGGCTAGCTGGTTGCTTTTGTCCAGCATTCTCACTTCTTGCAAGGGCTCGTATTTAGTAAAAAGTTACATGATTACTGCCCTGTTCTGTCCATCCACGTGCGGGACAGAAGGAACTTGACAACAGCATATGTACAATGTATATCCAATGAAGGGGATCCAGAACCACGATCAAAGGCGTAATTTAGAGAGGGGAGCCAAAGAGAGAAAATGATTTAGACACAGTACGCGGGCTGTCTGCCTCTGTTCCCGTTTTGTCACTGTGCATGGCCCTATCCACCATCGTAGGCTGTTTTTATGGTAGCCAGTGCAGAAGAGCGACTGAGGCGCCAAGCAAGGAAGAAGCCCACGTAGGACTAGGCTAGCCAACAGGATCATGACAGCCAGTCAATACCATATATTGGAGAGCTAGCCTCCTATTTCAGCAACTCTGAAGCTGCAGATAATTACTAAAAGATGCCTGCTTCTCGACGAAACATGTTGCTGGTTCGGGGCTCTCAAGAAACCGACCATCACGTTTCCGAGTTGCTTTATTCACGCGGAACGCAGAAGGAGCCAGAGGACCGCTAAAAAGAAGGAAGGAAGGAAGGAAAGGGCGCATTGTGGCTCATGTCGCCCGGCATGATGCAGGCAAAAATAGAAATCCTTTTTTCTGAACCACACAGCCAAGTAAAAAGGCTCCGTATGGCAATCCCTGTTCCAAACTCGGGAGCACAGGAACAAAGTAACAAGAATAACCTGTGAAAAGGAGATGCTGCATTGTCCGTTCTATACTGAGCAGTTCAGCAAAACTATGTACATGCCAACCTTTCTTAGTTGCGGCGTTGAGGTGGCCAGTTTTACTTGTCCATGCAACACAAAATCTCGGAAGAAACAGGACAGTTGAAAATAATAATTGCATTTGGTTCGTTGTCATTTCATTCTCTCTTTAGTAGCTAACAATAAAATCTACCTCACGCTCCTATTAGCCGTGCATCATGCCAAACAAAGCCGTTCCTAATCCCGGTCTCTTGCCCAGCCCTGAAACTGCTGGCTGCCAAACGGAGAGGTTCGCCTTGCCCAAGTTCCTTGGCGTTATCCAGCCAGCGAAGGTGCAATGTTGACTCTAAGAGGTGATTGTTGTTGGTGATGTGCATCGTGTGTCGATATTGTCCAATGCTCGCTCGTTCCTAAGGCTCATCGTGTGATCACTTTGTCGTGCCTTCTCCCAGGTCCTGGGAAAGGTCCCGTTTGGATATCCCTCTCAGCTGCAACGTCCCCGAATATGTTATCCCTCGCCTCGCCTCGCCACGCACCTTTCCCCTCAACCGCCCCGTTCGCTTTGTACCATAATTTCCCTTCGTCTCTTTGTCATCTCGGTCCTCGGTCTCGTCCTAACACCCCCCCCCTCCCCCCCGGCTATCTGGTTAATGGTATAACGTGGCAACCGCGGCGGTACCCAAACAGCAGCAGAAAACGCGCCAGGTGCCGAGACGACGGACAATTCCCAATAAGGAAAGAAAGCTGCCCAAAAGAGGAACAGCCACAAGAAAACAAAAGAAAATATGGAACAAGTTGAAGTGTCCCACGATGAAGAACCCCCTCTAAATAGAGTGGCTTCCTTGGATCCGGTGTTGAACGCCCCATGTTTTGGTTGCAAAAACAGCAGACAGCGCAAAGCACAGATGTCGACCCAAACGCCAGACAAGACCTCCAACCCAGGCAAAGTTGCTGCGATGTTGTATCACAAAACACCGCCCAGAACGGTCAAGCTGTCGTAACACAAACAGACGCATGAAAATCCAACAGCAACAACGACAAGTAAAATGCGACAGTAGTTGAGAAAGAGAGAGATAGGGGAGGCACAATTGCACCGCTGCGGGAAAGGAGCCAGCCGGCCCCAGCCTTTACCACTTCTATCCCCATGATGATTTAAAGTGTTGTAGCCTCTCTTCCCAGAGGGTTTGTTGTAGATTATCGGTGGTCCGCAAGCACAGAATCCCAAAACCATCCCCTCTGTGTTCACATATCGGTTTGCAAGAAATTCTAGTCGTAAGGAATGGCCAGACAGTGCGGCGGCCTTATATGATATCCCACGAGTCCTCGGCGGCATGGCAGAACTTGCTGCATGCGACACTCGCGGAAAGGCTGTAGTTGCTGATAGAAATTTTGTCGTCAACGTAAGCATCGGCAAAGTTGTCAGGCCCTTTGGCCATGGCACCGACAAACACGCAAATGCTCTCCTTGGGATCCAGGCTGTCGATGTAGCTGCGGACAGGTTGCACCTCGGCATCAAAGCTCAGCGTCACCTTGCGGCAGTTTGGCGGGAGGTGGTCTGTGATGGGGTTCTTAATCACACGAAGGAGCTTTTCCTGCGAGTTAGTAGATCGGATGGAAAGGCGGTGGAGCAGCTGCACCATGAGACCGGCGAAGCGCTTGAATGTACGTGGGATGCGGACAGTAGGTGAGACCTCGATCAGGACGTCCTTCGCCGTCAGAATGTAGATCTGGAGTTTGCCGGCTTTGTTGATAGGCGAGTCGAGGAGGGTCAAAAGGCACTGCGTCCAGGTCTCAGTACACGACGGCGCCTACCAAAGGGTTATAGGAATACGTCGGCGGCGCGCGGCCTTGCGACAAGAGAGGAAGAGTGGCAAACCTGGTGAGTGATGTCGGGTCGTGCGTCACTTATGTCTCGGTTCATCTTCCGCATGACGCCGATGTGCTCGTCGCTGTTGAGAAGTGAGTACTTCTCGTCGCGATGCGCGACGCCCATCCGATTAGCCGAGCCTCCCTGGGATGCGGCGCGGTAGGTTTCGAGGCTCGCATTGGCAAGCACTACAATCAGTCTCCGCGTATCTTTATCAGACGAGGCGATGGGGTGGTGCTGCTCCGCGACGAGCTGCGGCAAGGCCGGGGGCGGCAGAGACTGGGTTCCTGTCATTGTGGGCGGCGGTGGTTAGGAGATTGCTTCGAGAAAATGGTTGGCAGAACAGCTTGGCTGAGAAGGCAAGAGAGGGGGGGCTCCGCAGATGTTTTGTTTAGGAGGGGGCCCAAAATACTCGGCCTCCTATGTGGCCGCCTTGGACGGGAGGTCTCGTGACTCCATGCGCGTCGCTGTGGTGTCTTCCACGTCAAGGAGTGAAAACCAACGACACAGGTGCAGCCGGCCAGCAATCAGAGCCACGGCCGAGAAAGCAATTGTGAACGAAGCGCGTGGACGACAAATCAAATGCTCGGGTCAAAGATTGCCATTTCCAGGGGTGTCCAACTTACTCTGTCTCTTGCCCGCACGGTGTTCCGGAGACGACATTGTGGTGGAATATTTGGATGAATGAGTGCGAAGAGTTAAAATTGAGCACGACAATAGTAATAATAACCAAGAATAAATGCTCGGACGAGAGTCAAATAAAAACAAAACTGCGTACGGAGAGCTTCCAAAAATAAGGACGACAGAGACAGAGAAAATAAAAGAGGACAAAGAGGGGAGAGTAACCGTTGGCGATGGAAGGCGGGTTGGCGGGTTGGAAAAATTCGTTGAGTACTTTTTGACGATGCAAGTACGAAGGCTGTCACGTGGGCGACTAGTCCAGAATCGTGCCTTCTTTGGCGGGAAAATTAGGTCAATTGACGGCCTTATTTACATGTGGCCATGAGACTGTTTTGTTTATCCTCCCTTGGGCCCAACCGTGATGTTATAACGGCCTATGAGCCCCTTTAGGAACGGAACCTTGTCATAGTTTATGTTGTTTTATGGAGGATTTGGGAATGCTCGACTGTGAGGCGAAGATGCTGTAACTTCTCAACAAAAAAAAAGTTGCACGTGACCGTTCTCATCTCGCAGGGTTTTTTTTTTTTTTTTCACGTAGGCGTCTTCTTCGAACCGGATCGCGCCAGTAGCCTTACCTCCGTTTACTATTGTGAAACTCCTGATAGCCCAATGACTTGCCTCGCTTGTGCTACTACTACACAGTCACTCAGCTTTGCCTTAGGAAGGTTCAAACGCTCTCGCTCGGTGTGGCGCAGAAGCGTCCCTGAAAAGAACGCCAGGAACGTGGCGGTGCTCACCAGACGAGTAAGTTATGTGGCGTTAGCTATTAGACAAGCACTGAGTAATTACGGGACATAAATACAGCACACTTGGTTGCTGTATTTCGCTGTGTCGCTGTATGTTCGGGCCAAGGTCCCAAGCCATCCAAGTATACGGAAGCTGCGATCACAGGTACCGCCCCAGGAACGGTTTCTCGTTTTAATGCCTCGCTGAGCTCCATGGAATGCCTAAGTCCCTACTTTCAGTGGCCTTGTGCCAGCCCCGTCATTGGCCCGTCATTGTGCACGCAACATGATTCTTTGCGATGGGCGGGCAAGCGCGGTTGGGACAGATAAGTCAAGACTACTCGGAACAGCACAGGCAAAAACAAACATTTCCGCTATGCGGCGACTGGGACCCGTCGCATCTGTCATCATAGAACCATTTTACAACGATGGAATAGGGTAGTACGGATGTGAGCATGCGTATCATTTTCGGCGGATAGATCAGATTATGAATCGCATAATCCGAAAGGAGGCACCTGGCTTTTTGAGCACGTTGCTCCGTGTGGCAATGCCTTGGAATGGATGCCAAGACAAGACAATTTCTCATACACTATCTCCTGGTCCGTTTCGCTTCTCCTTGGGTACAGAGGTTTCCTATGTCCAATTTCTATGTTCGCGAATACAGAAGTCTAAACCTCGTCCGGGCAATGTAAGTCTGGGATTCGACTCCGCAATTCATCTAGGAAATGTAGAACAGTGATTTTTCTACCTTGCGCCAAACTTGTTTCTCAGTATCGGAGCCGTCACCTAGCGCCAGCTGTCTAGGTCGTATTTCAGTCATGTTTGGACAGGGGCCTCGTACATTGCTGCTTTGATCGACGTTTCGTCACAGTTTAAAAGACTCAATGCATTACAATATCCGGCGAAGCATACCGTGCGCTGCCGTCTCCCTGTGGTCGTTTGCTACTCGAAAAAATATGCCGACCTCAGGTAAAGTCGCCGTTATTTATTTTACTGTACTCCACGGACAACCCGGAGAAGTGCAAACTGGACGTATGACAGAAATTCGGCTCAACTTGGTGGTCCTGCTATGACGTCCGGACCTTGTACTTCCCGCTGCAGCCTTGATGGAAACGCACGGCTGGTAGCAAACTGTCGACGCGCCGCTTTATGAAATACCCATACCCTAGCAAGACTTGTCCAAGTGGAGGAAAGCCGGAAAAAAAAGAAGAAACGAAGAAAATAATCAGGCCACTTGATCGGGGCTGTATCCATCCCGACGTCTGGCGGCATCTAATAATAATCATCCAGGTTAGGCCGAGCAGAGGCTTCCGATAGGATGGATACTCGTCGACGAAGGGCAGACAGTGCGTGCCCTTGTTGATACTACATATCGCCTTGCCCCAAGACATGAAAACGAGCCCTGAATGGGGTACGAACAGGAGCTTAAGTGTGCAAGTTGTGGCGTTCAAGACAGGAATTTACATGTTCACATAAGGGCTCCATAAAGCTTCCCGAGCCTCAATACTATCAGTAAATCAGTACGCTACAAGTGGGCTTTACTTGGATAATGCGTGGCGTCACCTCCCCGTCGGTCACACTTATGGTTGAACATCGGATAAAACGTGTTTGGACAATTGGTTTTTTTTACAACATCAGGTCGGGCCAACGCCAGTCTTAAAAAAGATAGTGTCTGAGGAGATTCAACCACGGCACAGCAGGTTTGGGATGAAAAGCGCTACTCAGTTCGTATGTCATCTCAACAAACGTAACTGGGCACATGTTGGAAACATGGCACTGGGACTGGAACACCAGCAAAGAATATGCGAATTCCGTTCAAGCAAATAATATATAGATATGGATAGAGCATATGTAGGCTCAGCATTTTACAAACCATGAATAACAAAAGCAGAAAAAAAATAAGCTACTGAAGACCGACTATCTATCCGTCTCCCAAGCTGAAGTCGTTACCAGGACTGAGTCGTTGGCGGATGTTCATATTTAGGCTATTCTAGGTATCTCCAGCACTACACAAACGCGCAAACTGTCCGAGTGATACAAAGAAAATCATCGCAGATCAGGCCCAACTGCTCGACGGCACGAAGTCGTTGTCAGAGGCACTCAAGCAAAACAGGAGCAGGGCTTCGGAGAGGGCCAGTTAATGGCCAGAGGATGTAAGGTTAGAGATTGTAACAATCGGCACGAGCACACGTCGAGGCGTCGTACTGTTCCACTACTCTATGTTTTCCAAGCTCAGGACCATCAAAGAACACAAGTCTCTGATAGCGAAACAATATCTAGTAAATAAAATGGTAACACTGAGCCGCCTCATATCGAAGTACCCTAGCAAAGACCATCGAAATAGCTCTTGCGAGCGGATGCGACATGTCCCTTAACCAGCATTTTGTTTCTTGAAAGTTTCGCCAAGGGGATTGACGCTGGGGCCGAGCCACCAAGTTTCTTCAAACTTGCCCAGGTGGTCTGTTGCATGGTTTTAACAAGCATACGAAGGCCATTGTTAAAGAGTGTTCCATCAGTTCTCTTCCATGCCTACCTCTGCGGCACCACGTTGCTCCGCACTCTATTGCGCAAAAAAGTGCCCTATTGTTTCGGCAATGAAAGCCTCTTTGTCACATCAAGAAAAGAGCGCAGAGCCAAATGTTCATCACGGCTAACACATCGTGTAAACGATGATTGTAGACTCCGAATTTCCGTCCGTCATGTCGGTCATTGCGCATCGCATCGTGCCGAGCAAACGGCAGAACAAGCCAAAGGCCGAGATGAGAACACCCATTCTCATCGATCTGAGAGGGAGACGCCCATCCGCCAAGCGCCCATCATGTTCGCGCAAGCCCAGAGATTTCCCTGAACATCATAATGTGCGCATCTGCCAAGACGAGCGAACATAAAAGAACGACTGCCGTCATTTTGAGCCCCGAAGTGACGCAAAAAGGCCGAAGGTCCTACCCTCTGGTCTGGAACCGTCACAACTAGCAATTGCTGAGAAGGAAGAGACGATGGTGCCGGCGGCTGGCCTGTGCCCTTTCCACCCGACAGAAAATATTGGTTTACGTCGGTATCGCTCTCGTTGCATGTCTCTTACAGGATCTGTTTCGTGATGCTGCGTGGTGCCTTTCCATTGACAGGTCGTCGCGGGGGTTGACAGGGGCTCCTGGTGTACTTTGTTTCTTCTGCTATCAAAGCGGTGTATGTAGGTACTCCCATCTTGTCAAGTACCTCCTGCCTTCCCAACAAGCCAGTCAGGGGCTTGAGGCCACTTCCACTCCTTGGCCCGTGCTTTCCTCATTTGTGGAGATGTTGTTTCGGTAAAGTGCTCATTCGCACCTTCCTGCGCCAAGACGGCCCCGAATTAGCTGCGCTAACGCAGAGCCTCTAAAAACAAATCAAATCGAACGTGTCGTTCGCCAACGACGTCTGTCTTCGCTCCATATGATTTTATATGTATCCAATTCTGTGCCCAGTTACCTTAATCTTCCAATTCAAGGCGCGACACTCGCGTAGCCTTTTCAACGACTGCCTCGTCGCCCAAGATTAGGCTCTAGCGAGGATACCCAGCGGCACAGCGCATTGTCTTGTCTACCATTGATGACTGTTGAGCGCACCTCTAGCAAAAGAAAAGACATCAGTGACGAGAGGCACTGTGAGCGCAATTTCACCCTCCAAAAACTATATGCTGGGGAGTGTACGAAATACCATCGATTCCTCATCTGAACAGACCGTCTGAAATCATTTGATAGCTGGGTGCGTGGGTGGCGCCGTTCTCGAGATGACATGAGGCAGGCTGCAGGCTGACGAGTTGGGGGACGAGGGAGCTTTTTCGGCTACTCAAACTCCCATGTCGACCAGTTCTCGGAGTGTCCAGTTGCACGCATCTTTGGAAGATACAAGATGCCGTCCCTTTTATCAGACTGCCTGCGCGAGCTGACCGAACACCGGCCACTTGACCTTACATTAGGTGTCTTGCAAAGCCTGTGCGTCGAATAATTCTTGCCAGGGTAGATGAGAAGGGGAGCAAGCGCTGGCCGGCAAAAAAGAGTTTAAGAAGGTGTTCAGACAAGACATGTTGCCCCAAAATAGGTTCTTGTCCCCATTCCGTCCTGTCGTGGTCCTGCGACAGGCACTTCCTCAAATGCGGTTTCAACCTTCCAATGCGGCCGCGGGATCTACATTTCCTATGCCCTGGGCTCGCCGTCAACCGTTTGTGTCCTCTGCAACCCATCGCCCACGCTTTTCCCTGTGTCTCTGCCCCTGTTCTGCGTCTCTCGGTTTCTACACCCTCTCAAACACACCCTTCACTTGCTACTTCCGGCTGCAGAGAATAGCTCAGAGTCACTTTTCTCCCCCGAGGCTTTGCGTCCGTCATGTTGGAGATCCCCACGTCCATCAAGGCTCTGATGCCGCTTTGCCAAGAGACATAAGTAGTCCGGCGTAGCCACCTTTTGAGAAGCCAAGCCTTCTCTCGTTTCTTTCTTTTCTTCGTCTCTTTATAATAATACAAGCCCTTCCATCCCCAGAGCGCGGTATTTTGCTGGCACTGTTTTCTCCTTCTTTTCTTCTCTTTTCTTGTCTCTGTCCTCTCTTTTATCTGCTTCTTGTTCAGCCTTGCCAGTCAAGAGAAGATCACGTTGACCGTGGATCTCATTTCACTTACACTCTTTTAACAAGGACAGTTTAATTCGTTTTCCACTTGGGACAGGACAGGTTGCCGCTCCTTTTTTATATTTTACTTGCCTTTTTATTCTCTTTCCAGCCGACAATCAACAACGTCAGACAAAATGGTTTCTGCGAAGCTAGTCTACGCGGCAACGCTGCTCACTCTGGCCCTTGCGGCTCAGAACGACAACAACAACAACGGCGGTGGAAACAATGCTGTAGCCAACGCCGGCGCCCAAACCAACAACGCCAAGCAGGGCCAACAGAACAACGGTGACAGCGGTGCCAACGCCAATGCGAACAACGGAGGTAACAATGGTGCCAAAGCCAACAATGCCGGAAACAACGCCGGCAACAACGCCGGCAACAACGCCGGCAACAACGCCGGCAACAACAACAATGCCAATGCCAAAGACGGAGGTAACAACAGCGCCAATGCAAACACGGCAGCTGCCGCGAAGAGCACCGCTACTGCTTCCGCAGACGCCAGTGCTAGCTCTGCTGCTGCAAACGCGAACAACAACAACAACAACAGCAACAACAACAACAACAATAACAACAATAACAACGCGGCCACCAACACAAACAACAACGGCGCTGACAGCACTACGCTGCAACCCAATGCTATTCAGTCCGGCTCGTTCTTTGATGGTCAGAATGGCCTGGGTGCCGAAAGTGGTCAGGCTGCGTCAGGCACCTCGCAGAACAACTTCATCAACTTCTGTGCAGGCCAGACCTTGACCAATGGTCTCCAAATCACCACGGGATCCTGCAACGGCATTGGTATGTGTTCCCATGTTTTTCTGTCGTGGAAGATTCCATGTAATGCGAAAGGTACGCCAAGTAATCTAACAATCGTGAACAGTTATGGGCCAGATTCCGGCAAAGAACCAGATGATCTCAACGGTCATCACTTTCCCCCAGAACGGCCAGACAATCCAAGCTGGCCAGGACTTCAACATCACTCTGCAGGTCAACAACCTGCAAGCTGGTGCCTTTACCAATGCCGACGCTACTTACTATTCTGCTCCTCAGCAGCTGCAGAACGGCATTGTCGTCGGCCATACGCACGTTACCGTCCAGGATATCGGCAACAGCCTGAACCCCTCGACGCCGCCTGACCCGACCCAGTTTGCGTTTTTCAAGGGCATCAACGATGCCGGAAACGGTAAGGGTGGCCTTGCTGCCGTCGTTGCTGGTGGTCTTCCCGCTGGTAACTTCCGCGTCTGCACTCTTACGTCGTCCGCAAACCATCAGCCTGTGATCATGCCTGTTGCCCAGCGCGGATCCCAGGATGACTGCACCAAGTTCACGGTTTCTGGCAATGGCGGCAGCACCAACGTTGCTGCTAATAATGGTGACAAAGGCAAGGCCGCCGCCGATCTTGCCCAGTCCGCTGTCAACCTTGGCGCCGGTGCTCTGACTGCCACCGCTGACGCTGCCAAAGGTGCTGCAACTGCCGCTGCTGGTAACAACAACAACAACAACGCCAACAATGGCAACAATGGCAACAACAAAAACAACAATAACAATAACAACAACAACAATGGAGGCAAGAACGCCAAGCGCCTAGCTCGTTTTTCTCGCCGGACATTCGTCGCCTAAAACAAGAACCGTGGCATAACAGGAATGGACTCCCAATACTCTTTTGGGGCATATGAACTTTGTATATGTCTAGAACGTTTCTGGGTTTTTCGCCCCAATCTTTTTTTCTTGTTTTAGATGTGTACAGGACGGTTTATTGCTGTTCTCTCAAGTGAGAAATAGTATTTAAAAAGGACTATTTTTTGTGTGTGAATCTTTCCTCGATTTTGGATTTGCTGTTTTCGCATGTCTATTGTTTGCCTAACTTTTTTGTTATTTATTTTTCCGTTGTATGCTAATGCGGCAGCTCTGCTCCCGACAGTTTTAGTCGGTAAGAAGCGTGTCAGTACCTGCAGCGAAATTTTGATTCTTATTTTTTATGACTTTTTTGTGTTCACTACATCTTAGTACCATCGACGTGAGGTCGGTATATTGGTGATGCCAGGAACGGTAGCCTCTTAGTAACATAATCGGCTGTGAAAGGATGGTGAATACGCAGTCTGTGGGCGTTGAAAAATATTGAAAATATAAATATGAACGCTTCTACCGTTTTCCTTTACACGACAAGATAACGGACCAAAAAATGGAACGCACAAGAGTGATGCGACCAGAGGCCAAAAAGAATGGCAGAGTGGTGTCGAGGTATACATACCAAATACGAGTAGGTTTTGATGAGACGTTTGATCTTCTGTCTTCTGAAACACGTCTGCTTGCAAGTGTCCAAGGACCTGTCGGTGTGGTGGTTCGGGTGGAATCTCTGCCGTGTTCTCGAAAATACGTCCCGTCTGAAACAAACCATGTCATGTGTCCAACTTGAATTGACCGTGCATAAGGACCTGTATAGCACGGACATATTGGGCGGTACAACTATGTAAATAGTAGCTCGCTGCTTAACTTCCGTCTTTGGCATGCAAGAATTTTTTTTAACTTGTGCAAGCGTATGACTGGTTTTTCACTGTGGCGGTAATGGAAGTGTGCTGAATGTCTTGGTGCCATGTGGTACTGTACTCTTAATGTTGCCTGGTTTGTTCTTTAGTTTCTTTTCTATTCTTGTCTTTTTTGTCACGCACTCTTTTCAGTATTATTCCCATCGTAAAATGAAAATTAAGGAAAAGTAATAGGAAGTAAAATATAACAATATAAGACCAGAAAAATTACCAAATAACCAAAAAAAAAAAAAAAAAAACAATTTTCGGCTTGAGCTGGGATATGATTAAGCAGGGGCTGAAATCAGTCCTGATTATAAAAACGAAGCGAAAGCATTTATTCATGACAAAATTGAGAATAGTCGAGAAGAAGGGAGTCATGCTCTCGTTGAGTCTGGGCACTATTAAAATGTTGCTGACATTTTGAGAGAGAAAAGGCAATACAAACAACATTGACCAATGACAGGCCATTCTAGGAGGCTCCCCATTCGCTAACGGCTTACTAATCCGGTATAGGGGAGATTTTTTCCCTAGTGCTCAAAAATCGCCAACTCTCAAGTCGTCAGTTGTCGCGTACAACTGACAATTGGCTTCCGGCATCTAGGACGACGAAAACGACGACCGCAACCCTGGTCCTTTCGAAAAGGCAGTCGGTATCCACGACATCCCTATTCTACACACAACATGGCGACACATTTCGTCGCAGCTGCGAAAAAGACATTTCGCGAGCTGCACGGTGTAGTCGTGTCGTCCGGTCTGATGCAGAAGACGGTCAAGGTCCGTGTCGGCGGCCAAATATGGAACAAGCGGGTTCAAAAGGTGCGTTGCCAGTGTACTGTGTTGTGTGCCCGCCCTCTCTCCTCTGGTTGGCCACGACTCTAATTGACTTAATCGTAGTTCTTCAACCGACCCGAAACATACCTGGTCCATGACCCCAACGACAGTCTCCGCACCGGCGATGCGGTCGCCATCTCGCCCGGCTGGCGCATGTCAAAGAATAAGCGCCATGTAGTCAAGCGCATTATTGCGCCAGCACACGTCCCGATTGACGAGCGCCCACCGGTGCCGTCTGAGGAGCAGCGGTGGGAAGAAGCAATAGCAAAGCGCGCGGCAAAGAACGAGCGGCGATCTCTTATCAAGGCTGCCGAAGAGGCACGAAAGCTGGAAGAAATCACTTCTCGGCGGACGCTGCGCAAGCTAGCAAAGAAGAAAGCGAAGGCCGAGGCCGCCGAGCAAGCAGAAACAGTTAAACAGGCAGAAGCCGAGATGCGGGGAGACACATCCTTATAATAAGGGCGGTTTTGGACGAGCACATACTGTTGACGGCAGACATAGAGGAAGATGTAGCGAACTGTTGTAACAATACATTGCATAAGGGCGGGTATTGAATGGGCTTGGAAAAGCCGCCAAACTTGAACATTAAACGTCTGGCCAGGAGGGACGATACCACGACCTTGATTTTTATGTACACATATTTCATATTTCTATTTACTGCCGAGGCCTCTACTTCTCAATGTTACCAAACTTGCAACTCATCGAAAAAAAGCAGGAATAAAAAAATGTCACCACCAGGTTTGCCGTGAGATAATACGTGCAATCGCAATAACACCCGCGAACAAAACCCCCCATAATAGTGGGTTGATGACAACAAACGGAAGAAAGCCAAATAGACAATGTGAAAAGCAACAAAACAGATAATAACAAAAACAAGAAGCAAAGAAATAGTTTCGGTAGCAAAGAGGCAAATACGTCAAGCCAGCGCAGGTATGCATGTGCGTATTGTATGAAATTGCAGAGTGTCTGTAAATAAATGCGCCGACTCAGCCACCACGCTCGCCGTACTCACGCGCCCAGTCCTCGTATTCCTTGAGGCCCGACTTGCTCACACTTGGACGGATGGTCACCAGGCTTGATTCAAAGTCGGATATTTCCATACCCCGAATCTCATCCATTTTTGTCATCAAGAGCGCATCACCAAGAGAGCGTAGCGGACCCATGGCGGCATCCTTGGCCAACGCCGTGATATCCGAACCCGAGAAACCTAAACAAGGTAGTTAGCAATGCTTGTCATTAGACAGCGTGCACAGGCCTGCCATGCCGAGAAACTTACCGTCTGTCAGCTCCACAAGTCGTTGGATATCCGGTTCCGTCAAGCTGTGCTTTTGTTGACCCAGAAGTGTACGAAGCTGGACCGCTCTTGTCTCGGTCTCGGGGAGCGGAATGTACTGGCGCCGCACAAAGCGCCGCCGGGCTGCTTCGTCAATGGCCCACGGTAAGTTGGTGGCCGCCAGAACAAGGACGCGGCTGGCGTCTCCCTTGCGGCTATCTTTGTCAGATGCATCCTTGTCTTCACGTCCGGCCGCGGCACGCTGGAGGTCGCTCCATTGGATTAAGAACTCAGTCTTAATGCGCCGTGTAGCCTCGTGCTCCCCGGAGCCAGATCGTTGGGAGAGAATACTGTCAATCTCGTCGACAAAGATGATACTCGGTGCTAACATCTTGGCCAAGGAAAATAGAGCGCGCACTAACTTCTCCGACTCGCCTAGGTACTTGCTTGTAAGACTGCTCGCCGAGATAGAGAAAAACGTGGAGCGTGATTCGGTAGCTACAGCACGTGCCAGCATAGTTTTACCAGTACCAGGGGGCCCAAAAAGAAGCATGCCAGTGGCTGGTTCGCGAAGCCCCATGAACAGATCTGGCCGCAGGAAGGGGTACACGACGACTTCTCGCAGTGCCTTTTTCGCTGGCTCTAGTCCCGCAATGTCGCTCCAATGGACAACGTCTCCTTGCACAACGATTTCGTTGAGAATTTGCTTGGCGGCTTCGTCATCGACACCAGACGGGAGACTCTTCAGGATGGCCAGTTTGCGCTTCTTCCATGGCATTTTTGCCCAGTCCTCTTCACTGCCCTTGCTGTCGTTCCCGTCCAGCTTATCCGAATCATCGCTTGACGATGGTTCAAGCTGTACATCGGCCAGGAGGTGGGAGACTTCCTGCGCTTGTCTTGCAGGCGCCTTATCCTTCCTTGTTGCGGGCATTCGAGACGAAATTGACGGTGCAGAGGTTGCTGCCGCGCTTCTGTCTAATGACGGCGATGACGAAGATGCAGCCGTACTTGCAGCGTAGCTCGAGTGTACGTTTCGTCTGATTTCGATTCTATTCCCTAATGCTGAGTGGTTCGTCGTGCCAGTGGAACCTGGAAGGCGCGTGTGGCCTGTCGACCTGGGTCGTGCAGACAGATCGTTTTCTCGCTCCAAGCTGGAGGACGCCGCAGTTGCAACAGAAGGACGTTGGTTGGACGTAGAACGGTTCAGCCGGCCAGGTCGACCGCTGTCGGCAGTTACCTGCATTGACCGGCCCAGGGCACTAGCCGCGGCGTTCAAGGAGAGGGACTGTGGTTTAGCCGAGCCGGCGTACTCTCCGGACCGGTGGTTGTCGCCGGATAATGAAATAAGGTCGGCGCTGCTGTGGTTAGGCGACGCATATGCGGGCTCGGGGATAGAACGTTGAGGAACAAGGCGTCTGGAATTGCTGTCCCACTGTAGTGCCGGCTTCAAGCTAGGTGAGGATTCGCGTACGGGTTTGCGGCTAGGCATCTGCAAGGATGAGGACGGCATGGATTGTGCCTTAGATGTCGAAATGTCGGCAGTGGATGAAGACGATTTTCGGGGGCTTTCAGATTTTCCGTACGACGAAAATCCCAGTGCACTCCAGGCTAGGGTAGCAGCCTTGCTGGCACCCTGCCTCTCCGCCGTTTGTTTTGGTGCTGACCTGCCAATTCGTGACGTACGAGAGCTCTTCACCGGCGTGTCACTCGGCGTAGACCGAAGGGTCGGCCGCAAGGTATGTTGTCTGTCTTTGTTTGGTGACCGGGATGAGCGTTTTGATAGAGGTTGTCTGCTAGTATTAGAGGACTCTACGTCGTGATTGGCGTTCGTAGCCCTAAGTGAGTCCATTGGTGGCTGCGTGCCATTGCTGCTGCTGCTGCTGCCACCGGCGTCCTGCAAGGAGGATGGGACAGGTGTTCCCGTCACTACTCTCCCCGAATCATATGCTATTGTTCGCGAACCAGACGGCGATATCCGGGGTGGCACCGGAGGAGCAGGACGGGACAGCTCTGGCCGGGACAGCTCGCTGTAGGTGATAGCGGGAATCGTGCCGCCGCCGATATAGCCGCTGTTGGTTGATGGGGATGTCTGGCTTGGACCCTCGCCATAAGAACTGTAACCGCCGTAGCTATCGTAGCCATTGTTGTTACTTCTGCCACTGTTCCCGTTGTAGCCGCTGTTGTAATTGTTGTAGCTGCTGGAGCCGTTGTGACCGTTTTGGCCGCTGACAGAGTTGTTAGAGTAAGACCTGGGCGGATCCTGAAAAGGGTCGGCACGTCGCGATTGCTTCAGTGCTTCTAACAAGTCGATCCGTTCCCGGGCCTGGTATTCCAGCTCTCGCAAGCTGGCTGACAGAGCCTTTTCTGCTTCAGTCAACGCCGCATATTCAGGGATATTGCCGTTGGCTTGCTGGTGCTGGATCTGTTGGACGGCAGCCTTCCAGCACCGCATGGCCTCCTCTTCGTTTCCCTAGAAGAGTCAGCAGGGAGTACAAAAGCCGACATATCGTGTTCGAAGGAAACAATCACACACCTGTCCTTCATAGTAGACCGCGGTCGAACATGTCAAGTAGCCCTCTTCATAGATCTTCTGCAGGCTGGACGCCGCGGTCCCGCTTTGCAGCATCTTGCTGCCCTGGCTGCTCCTAAAAGCATGTGATGTCGCCAGAAAGCCAAAATAATGCAGCCAAGGTGAGAACGGAATCGCAGGCGACGGCGGACAAGTGCCGTGATGTATCGCGTGCCGTACAAGTTAATGGTTCAAAATTCGATTTTGGTAAGGGCCGCTGATTTTTCGAGGGGAAAAAACGTGCCGAAGTGGAGCGATAAAATGCCAGCGAAAACAACACTGACGGCAATTGAAAATTCGCAGATGCAATGGCAAGCAGAATGTGGCCGAGCCTTTTGGATGCGGCTGAGAGTCGAGGAGGGCGATAATGGAGAGAAGCAAGGTTGGAGAGAGATTGCACGTAGATGGGCTTCTCCATGTGAGGTCAGTGAGTACTGAAATGTACTGAGTTGGGTCATATTTTGTCCCTGTTCAGGAGTGCGTAGATGTGACCTACCGCTGGAAATGAGGGCACTCCCGCTGCTTCGACACCACTGTGGCCGCTGAAGAGCGCTAATGCTCAGAAGAAGGCATTTGGCAAGGCTGGCTGAGTGTAGTAATTCTGTTTTGTGGGGCGGCGCCTTCTCAGTCGCTAGGGAAGGCGGGGCATCAGTGACGTATTGTTTCTTCTGTTTCGACAGTAGCATCGGTAAGCAACTCGGTTACTAGCATAATAATGTACATGAGCGGTATTTTCGCGTGGTGGTCGGCCTCTAGGCAGACGAGAGCCGACAAACTTGTGTACTGGCGCCGGTTTTGGTTCGATTGGGCGATTCCGATTGCGACCAAAATTTTGCCACGCTGGTAATTGACCAGCGGACTTTGTTTATTTGCTTTTGTTCCGCGATTTGCGCTTTGTATGCTGCCATAGTGAGGGCACGTCTCTTTTTTTAACTTATCTACCCAAACCACCAGAGGACATGCCAAAATGCCCTTGGAACGTCGATTCCCCCGATCCGTCTACATCACGATAGTAACACGCGTATCTCGAGTGTCGTCCGTGGAAACAGGTCACGCAGCGTTGTTTCAGGATTTTTTTCTGCGTTCCCATCCAACACCATCTCATCTGCAGCGTCGAGAATCGCCTCCACGTGTTCAAAATTGACACAGAACTTCTCGGCAGCTTCTTCGGTCAGCTGTCGGGCCAGTCGAGGGTCTTGAAGTGGCTTCAGGTTCTCGACCGCGTCCATCAAGGCAGACGGCAGGAAGTCGTCAAGGCGTTGGCTCGCCAATGTAAGAGCCTGTGGTTGCAGCAAATCGAGTTTGACTGCTTTTTGTAAATCGGTCTTGCTGTCGGGCGCGAGTGGTCCAAGGGCGCCGAAGAGAGATTCCACGCCTGATTGTTCGCAGAAGAATCCATACTGGTTGTCGGCAAGGGCTGCCGCTTTGTTGTCAATGGCCGACTGCAGCTCAGAAACGCGGGTGCTGGTGAAATCGTATGCCGACAGCGTCTCACGGGCAGCCGATAGGCAATTGATCATGAATATCAGGCTGTCTACAGGGGACGCAGCCTTTGCAGCCATCTCTTCGCAGCCGCTGAGGAAAGGGTCAAGGGCCTCAGTTAGAATGGGTGCGAAGCCCGATTCGCGGCTGTCGGGGGACGCCAGGGACGTATCGTAGGTTTTCATAATTGCGACAAGCTGCTCAAGGCTGTCTTGAAGGAACTCGGGCAGTGCCGAGTCGGACGGGGCGTGTGCGAACTCGCCGTGCAGCGTGGCCACGCGATCACGGACGAGCGAACGGAAGTGGCGCAAAGCTTCGGTTTCGAGGCCGCCCAGCGTTTCGACAAGACCTGAATCGCCACTGTCACCTTCCCTACTGCCTGGTCCGCTGACGCTGCCATTGGCGCCGCCCCCGTCGCCTCTGCTAAGGAGCTTTGCAAAGGTGAGGTGGTAAAAGTTCAAGAGATTGGCCAGTTTGAAAGCCAAGATAGTATCTTCGTTTGTCTGGATAACTTGTTGCGTACGCTGCCGCAGGAGACGAGCGACACCGGCCATGTCACGGTCGACTAGCTCGTTGAGGGCCTTGACCGGATCGAAAACGTCCGTACCCTCATCGCCCCCGTCATCCGCAAGATGCCACACTTCGTTTTCATGCCCTTCCTTGAGGCCACGGGCGAGCTCACCATCGGCCACAAACAATGACTCAAGCGCCTCGCGTTCACTAACCGTGGCCGAATGAGTCCAGGCCAGCATGTCACCAGCGTAGCGTAAAGGATCGTGGGCGGCCATCTCAATCGGCTTCACGCCGTGACGGCCACTGCTGTCGCCGTTCTTTTTACTGGACTCGTCGCTGCCGGTAAGTGCGACAAAAAATGCATCCGACAAGATACTCTCACGGGCCTCGGAAAACAAGTCAAGGCAGCTCTGGAACAGTGACGGTCGCTCGGCAAGGACACGCAACGCCCGGCTCATTGTTGCACCAATCTGGTGGTTCTCAAGATTGAGGTTCTTGAATTCGCGCTGCACCCACTTGTAAAGCTTTTGGTAGCCGTTATTGATGTTCTTGGAAGTCTGTCCCATGATCTCGGAGCCGAGAGACTGGTTGTCCTCGAAACCAAGCAGCACCTCACAGTCCTTGAGGATCTTTTTGGCCTTCTTCAAAATGGCAAAAAAGGGGTCATCGACAGGCTCGACCGTCTGTGTCAAAACGGCAATCTCGTCTTCACTGAGCACGAAGTGGCTGACAAAAGCTGTGAGTAGCCGGCGCTGAGTCTCTATATTGCGGCGCTGGTCGATCAGTGTAGACGCCTCTTCTAACACGGGATCCGTTACACTGTGAGCAGAACTAATTTCTGTTTTCATTGCATCGTAAGTCTTGTTGAGTTTGTCAATGGTGCCTCCTATCCGGCGAAGTTGCTATTGCTTATTAGATCTGGTTCTGACTTTGCTTCGTCGCATGATGTAAATAGAGGACGCCAAAGAGGCTATAAAAATACAAAATAATAAACTCATGGCACTCACCTCAGCCACGCGGCCAAACTCGGCAATCACTTCGCCATTGCTGTCGATGACTTCTTTCTGGATATCAAGTCGCATACGCCGCCGCGTTTCGGCAGTGTTGTGTACCCCCCGTTCGTCGAGCAGCGCTAATGAATCGCGGAAGTCTGCATTTGTATATGACGCCGACAAGACGCTGGTGACTTTTGATGTAAGAGGGTTGTTGAGCCCTTTCGCACCGGAGGCTGACGGTATGCGCGGTGACAGAAGGTCCGTGGAAGCTGGGCCTCCCACAGTCGGAATGCTCAGGCTGTCTGGCAAGCCCAGCTCCAGCGGACGAGGTGGTCCCGAGGCCATGTTCAATCGAGGGTAACGTATGGTAGGCACATTTCTAGATGGATATGCTCAGGAGGTGCAGACGACTCCGATGGCGCAGATCAGAAGAAGAGTAAGGAGGTCCTTTGTGAGTTCCTTTGCTTCTTGTTTGTGTTTCGTCCCGAGGCTGGCTCTCCAGCCTGCTCTTAGGAATGTCGTGATAATTTGGCGCGTTATTTGTACGACGCTGACGACCCCTGATGCACTGCCGGTTGGGTTTATTTTACAAGTTCTCCAGCAATTGGAGTGGTTCAAAGAGTCCAGGTGGCGCATAAGTACCTGACGGATAGCTCTCCTGTGGAACCAACTCCTCACCGCCTGTCGCAACTAGTCTTGCAAAGCATACCGACGTCATTTCCTCAGCTAAAGGTAGTCACGGTACATAACATGTGACCAATTCATGTGACACGAAATTTACGAGCTAGGAGGATAAAACCCAGTGGACTTAGGCGCAGATTCCACATACATACACAATAATGCGTACAGTTTTGGTCATACACTAAATTCACTGTCAAATGCGACAGCCCGGCGTTACATAATCTGCCATTGCTGGGTCATATGCTACCAGTCCTGTGCCACCTACCACCTGTGGAGGTAGCTAGGCTGATGTAGAGGGTCGCTTGCTACATCGCAAACCAGCCTCGTCGCCTGCTCAAGGCAGCACACACTCACTATACACATGACCAGCTTTATCGAGAGCTAATTTTCGAGGTTTAATCTTCCAAATTATCAAGGTGGTATCTCATCGGCGAACTATATAATTCACAATACACGTCAACCAAAGCTATCTCATTTGCTTCTGTCCCTAGCCAGAGCCTTTCGAGCATGCAAGCAAAGACTCCATCGAGCATCGGATGAGCTTGTCCCTGTGACAGCTGCCCGCGATAACTGGTATCTACGTGCCCTCCAACGACACCTATTTCCCATAGGAAGCATTGCACAACGATGGCCTCCAATATTTTTTCTCGGCTTAACTCGACTACGGGCCGAGCCCGGCGCTCGTTTTATGAAAGCCTCCGATCTGGCGAGGACGGTGGCCAGAACGAGGCCGAAACAGAAGGCCACGACGTCGAAGAGCGTGCGGAGCTGGCGCTTGATGAAGAGAACTTGAACGAGCAGTTTCAGGACTACGACCTAGAACACGCCGACGGCCTCGGGGTCGATGCTAGCCGGGCGACAATCGAGAGTGCCGCAGTCGGAACGATTGCTGGTGGCGCAGCTACATCAGCGGCAGCGGCGGCGGCAGCTTATTCGGAAGCGGGTTCAGGGAAATGGTCTGCGGCGAATAGAGGGCGGCGCGGCCATGGAAACACCTCGCACTCTCGCTGGGGTGACGATGACGCAGACGACGACGACGTTCCCGATTCTCTACTCGTCGAACCACAAGGCCCCGGCGCCGATCCCTTCCCGCCAATGCTGAAAGCAACGCCTCTACGATCGCATCCGTCCGACCGCCGTTCTCGTGGGCCAGGCGGAACCATCCCAGGGCCTGCCACGAAGAAGATTCGCGCGCAGTGGGAAGCCACACAGAAACATCAGCAACCATATGGAAACGACACAAACGGTGCTGGTGGCAGTTCAGGAGGAATGTACGGCGAGCTGCCCGGTCCCGTGAGTGGGAGGATAGCTCAGGCTGTCGGTAATCAACCTGGGAATGCCTTGTTGTCGTATTTCTTCTCGTCAGGTGGCCGCGGGCACCACAAAAGCACAGCCTACGATCGAGCCATGTGGAGATGGGTCAACGTTTCGAATCTGGACAACTTTATACGTGATGTGTACGATTATTACCGCGACAGTGGTATTCGTTGTATTCTCCTTGCACGATTGCTGCATCTTGTGTATGTGTCCCAGCACATCCATCCCTGCTACGTTGTCTACACTTTCTTATCCAACACGTACAATTGCTAACTCGCTGCTAGTAATGTTGCTTTTGTGGCTGTTTTCCTTACGTTTTTGACGCAGTGCGTGGACTATTCAAAAATTCGTGGCAGCACACGGATGGACCAGATTTTGATACCGCATTGCACGAAGAATATGTCCTGGATTTGGAATTTTGGTCTGTGGCTGTTCGCCTTCTATTTCATTTGGAAAACGGTGCAGTTTTTCATCTTTGATGTCCGGCGGTTGTTGAACCTACGCGACTTCTTTGAGCACCTGCTTCAAATCCCCGAGCACGACATGCAGACTGTGTCATGGCAAGACGTTGTGGTCAAAGTCATGGCGCTGCGAGACCAAAACCCAAAGACAGCGACGAATATGACGCGATTGCAGCGCGAATGGATCGGTAGCCAGTCCAAGGAGCGCCTCGACGCTCACGACATCGCGAACCGGCTGATGCGTCGAGAGAACTACCTAATTGCCCTCTTCAACAAAGACATCCTCGACCTGTCCGTTCCGCTCCCGTTTCTGCGAAACAAGCAATTTTTGACACGAACGCTCGAGTGGACGTTGTGGTTTGGAGTTCTCGACTTCGTATTCGACGAGCGCGGCCAGGTCAACCAAGAGTTCCTCAAGTCCAATCGCCGCAGCCAGCTAAGCACCATGCTAAAGTCCCGATTTCTCTTTGCGGGCTTCATGAACCTTCTTTTAGCACCATTCGTCGCTTGCTACCTGGTTGTCGTTTACTTTCTGACCTACTATAATGTACGCCTTAACCCCCCTCCCCTTCCCCTCCCCCTCTTCTTCTCTATGCCGTTTTCTTTTTCAAACTTGAACTTGAACCTCGACATGCAGTAACTAGAATTTTCTGTAGGAATATCAAAAGAACCCTTCGGCACTCGGCGCACGAGCGTATACACCGCTGGCGGAATGGAAATTCCGCGAGTTCAACGAACTCGAACATCTTTTCGAGGAAAGGCTAAATATGTCGTATCCTTTTGCGACGCGGTATCTGGACCAGTTCCCCAAGAAAAAAACAGAACAAGTGGCCAAGACTGTGGCCTTTATTGCAGGAGCCGTTATGACCGTTCTGGCCATTGCCTCGCTGGTTGACCCGGAGTTGTTTCTGGGGTTCGAGATCACGCACGATCGCACTGTCCTCTTTTATGTGGGTATTTTTGCCACGGTATGGGCAACTGCCCGTGGTATGATTACCGAAGACAATAGCGTGTTCGACCCTGAATATGCCCTGCGCAACGTTATCGAATATACACACTATGAACCTGACCACTGGAAGGGGCGGCTGCACAGTTTCGATGTGAAGGTCGAATTTTCCGAATTGTACCAGATCAAGATCAAGATTTTCTTTGAGGAGATCCTGAGTATCTTCTTTACACCACTTATTCTGTTCACCAGTCTTCCTCGATCCAGCGACCAGATCATTGACTTTTTCCGCGAGTTTACAATTCATGTCGATGGACTAGGCTACGTCTGCTCGTTTGCTGTGTTTGATTTTAACAAGGGCATAGGGGCTACAAGCAACCCCAAACGCCAGGAGCAGCAATCGCTGCAGCCGGACCCTCTGGGTACAGGAGGCGGTGATGTCCGAGATGATTACTACTCCACCAAACACGGCAAGATGGCAGCTTCGTACTACGGGTTCTTGGACAACTACGTGATCAATCCGAAAACGGGTATCCCAGGTCATCACCCTCCTGGAGGAGGGCGCCATTATCACACTCAATTTTACCCACCCCCCGCTTTCCCTGGTCTGAACTCGCCAACACTTGCAGCCGATATGCAAAATTCCCGTATCCGACACAGGGGCTCTGGAACCACGGGAGCCGGTGGTGCCGTGCCTAGCGCTACGCATGCGTCGCTCATACGCACGCCTCGCTTTGGCCCCTCATCTATGGCCCAGCCATCCCCGATGGCATCCATATTGTTGGATCCGCACCACCAGCCATCGACGATTCCGTATGCAAATCGCAGCACGCATCGGCCGAGAATACCTGGCGGTGGTGTTGGCCGTTACAGTGCAGGTGGAACCGGCGAGAGCTACATTGTGGAGGAGCCGGCAATGGAAAACAGCCGCGTAGCGCCAGGCAGCGTGACTGGTGGCGGTGGTGGCGCGGGCCACCGGGACGGCGCATTCCGCGACAATGAGCCATTCCAGCCACCTCCGCAAGCACAGGCCAGCAGCGGAGAACTTCAAAGCGGACCCGGAATGTTGGATGAGTCGACTTGGCAAACATCGCCACCTACCGGACTCTCGCGAGAGAACAGCGGGGTAGACGATGACGCCGACGTGGGCGTTTTGGGCCTCATGTATCAGTTCCAACAGGCGCATCAGAACCATCGGATCCGATAATTAACCAAAGCTGGACTTGCGCCTTTCGACTTGTATTGAATTAATTGGTAGCCACCTGGTCCTTTTGGCTCTATCTATTGCATTTTCAGCTCTGGCATGGTACATGCCCTTGCTGGCTGGCGTTGCCTCAGTTAAAACATGAGTTGCACCTAATTGCTTATTTACTTTTACCACGATTTTACCCCGTGACATACCATAACTTGGACTACATCGTATTTTCGTGTTTTCGCGTGTCACGTTTTGGGGTGTAATGCGAGGCTGTGGCGGCCGGATTCGGACGGGCAGCCTTGTGCTTGGACTAGGACCCTAAGGGGCCGAACTAGTAAAAGCTGCTGGCCAGGCATACGCCAAGGTCGTGCTGCAAGACAGAACGAATCGTGTAACTGGCGGTACTGTCACCGCATGACGAAAGGGGAAGCTCCGTCTCCGGACCGGGCATTGTCCGATGTAAAGATATGAAAGTAATTATGCACATCGTGCTCCGTCCTGTCCCGGGAGAGTAATAAGGACAGCCACAGCCCCTAAGTGTGCTAGTGTGGCGAATTAATACCTTGCCTGTCCCAGGGTCAGGGTGGTCTCGGCATGGTGGTCTCCGCGGCTTATGCTAGGCGCTGAAGCCAACACAGGTTATTACCAGCCAATCATGTAAGCTGCGTGATGTCCCCTAAGAACGCGCTGAACAGCTTTGCGCAACGCGCAGTCCCAGCGAGCGTTCCACGGCCCCAGCTTGCCCCTCCAATGGCCGCTCTATGACTTTTTCTCCGCCGTGCCTGCATGTCCTGACCTTTTGGCGTGACACTCCCTACCCTGATGCCTTTTCCCTGTTGAAACGAAGCCCGCCCTTTTCTTCAAGCCTTCTGCTTTGGTAATGGGTCTTTGCTGCATACAAGCGTGATGTCTCTCATTTTCACCGATTTCTCTGATCCTTCACGTCTCCCCAACACAGAAAATTGCTCCTCTTAACGCTCTTTTTCTTTTTTTGCTATGACATTCTCCCTGCAACAGTTTTCTAGGCTGCGTTTGTTTGTAACCCGATACACATTCGTTTCTGCTAACTGTTTTCCCTCTTGCGTTTATTGTTTCGCGCTCTCGAGATTCCGTTTGTCCCAAGCACGCGAAGAGGCATCTGACAGATCCAGTCCCCTTGGGTTCAACGCCGTTTTCTATTTTGCCTCTGACAAAATCTAGCAAGGCCTTCTTTCATAAACTCTCAACATTCGACCTCCCTGACCTACTCCCCCCACATCGACAGCCCTTCCTCCCAGCCGGTTCTCCTGCTGTGCCCACTGGGCTTTACAGGTGCCGCTGACTGCGTGCGTGCGACCGACCGATCTTAGCTAGCCTGGCTGGTGTGGCTTCTCCGGTTGAACGACAACACCTGGCGACGCAACGGTGGTCCGGCTGTTGTCTCACTTCTTGAAGCAGCAATGGCGGACCACTTTGGCAACGGAAGCGCGGAGCCCGCCACCTCCACCAATACTCTCAACGAACCCGAGGAGGTGCTGCTGCCCAAAATCACCAGCGCTCTCGAGCTGATCTACAACCCCCAGTCCACAAACCAGGCCCGCCAGGAGGCTCAAAAGCACCTCGAAGTTGTCAAGGAAGCTGTACAGGCGCCGTCCGTGGGCTTCACCCTTGCCGCCAACCCGTCGAACTCCTCGGTCGTCCGACATTTCGGCTTGTCGATGCTTGAACACTCCATTAAGCACAAGTGGGCCCTCTTTTCAGCCGACCAGGCAGCCTGGATTCGCCGATGGGTGCTGCAGCTCGCAGAGAATGTGTCCCGAACCGATGCCTCGTACTTGCGCAACAAAATCGGTCTGCTGTGGGTCGAAGTGGCCAAACGGTCCTGGGCGGGAGAATGGATGGATATGGACACCCAGATGCTGAGCCTTTGGCAAGCCAAACAGGGAGGCGACAATGTCCACAAGGAGCTCGTCCTCTATATTTTGGAGACGCTGTCCGATGAGGTATTCAACGGTGACGATGCCGTCGTAGCGCTGCGCGAGGGTGTGCTGAGCAAATCCTGTGTGGATATTTTCACGCCTGCTGCCATTCTCAACGACTGTTTCCCGAACCGCGCCACTACGCCGAATGTCCGAGCCGGTGAAGAGGGTTGGCTGCTGCGCGTTACAGAATTGTTGAGTGTCTGCAACTCTGCTAATGTCCAGTCCAACGACGACGCCCGCTCGTGTGCCGTCCGCGCCCTCGCCGTCCTTACATCTCTCCTGCCCTGGGCAATCCCCAAGGCCGTCATCGCCTGCCAGTGTGTGCCAACACTGTGTGAGAGCTTAGCCGCACCGCACGTCTCCGTCCAGAAGGCCGCACTTGAGGCATTTCATGCGCTTTACTCACGGAATCACTTCACTGAAGAGGAATTCGTCGCGTTGGTGGTACCAATGTACGACAGTAAATATGTCGACCTGTACCACCGCCTATTCGAATGGTCCAAGGTCGACGTCGAGGATATCGACGATGACAAATACCAGTTTGCCAAAAAGTTCTCTGAGGTAAGCAAAGCCTTGTTTTCAGCGTGCATTTACACCCATGGTTTGTCATGCTAATGTGCTGTTTCTAGATGCTTTCGTGTCTCGGAAACTACCTGGATCGACGTTTCCACAACCTGCCAGCGGGCGTGGATGTTCAACGATTTGTCGAATTTCTTCTTGAAGTTGTCCAGAGTCAGAGCCTCGTGGTCTCCATCCCCGTGCTGGTGACATGGACGCGCCTACTTGCCCATCGGAATGTTGGACCCCTTATTGCAAACACTTCTCTCATCGGCCCTCTTCTTGAGGTCTGCAGCTCAAGACTTATCCGCTACGAGAGTCTGCCGGAAGACACTCAAGATTCCTCGTACCTCTTTCTCCTCGAAGACACGGACACCATTCCTGAGCGCCATGCTTTTCTCGGCAACTACCGGCGATACAGCTCACAGATCATCGAGGCTATTGTGCAACTGAAACTACTTGACGCATTCCACCACATATTCGCACAGGCCGAGAATGTCCTCCATCACCTGTATGAAGATGGCCAGGAGTTCAAAGGTATGCAATGTTTCCTGCCATTGTGCTTGAAAAATGGACTCCGTTGCTTTCAGACATGGCCAATTTCTAATCATACCTGCAGTCGCCAATTATAACAAGAACGCGATGCCAGTTCTACGCGTTGATGCACATTTTACTGTAGTTGAAGCCGCTTTAAAAGGCTATATGAAGTGGAGGTCTTCGACACATTCGAAGGACGACCCGGCCGAGGTAAGACATGAAATGAAGACAAAACCTACCGGTTTTCTGGCTTGTTGCTAATTTGTTCTCGCAGAAACAACGGCAGCGTGAGGTTCTCGAGGCCGAGTTTGAGGCCTGGTGCAACCGCATAGCGGACCTGAAGATCGAGGACCCTTGCATCCGAAAACGTATATTGCAGCTGCTGGTGGCCTTCTCTATCACCGCTCTTGACAGCTACCCGAGTTTTATGCTCAAAGTTCTAGAGCACATCCTCTTGACATGGCCCAGCCCAAAGGAGCCAGAACACCGCGCTTTCAACGATGCAATCAAGGAACTCCAGTCCGAAAGCATGGTAGAGCTACAGCGCCTAGCCACGAAGCAGCCTGACCATCTATTGAGCGTGTACTACCAACTTGAAAGCAAGGTCAAAGAGCTGATCGCCTCCGGAACTCTTGATGAGAAACGGCAGGTTGCGTACCAAAGCTTTTTGTTCCTTATCCTTCACCGCACCAGCCAAATTGACCATACCACGCGTGTGCAAAGGCTCCGGCCCTTTCTAGAGCCTGTGAAAGCACAGTGGCAAACACCAGAGCTAGAGCGTGCCTTATCGTCGTTTAGCAATTTTGCGGAACTGGTCGGGCTCGATAAGGCGCAACTATATATCGCACGCAACCGCGTCGACCAAGTGGCTGATTGGGGTTCAATCGAACTAGATGGGGAGGGGCTTGCACTACAGGCAGATCTTGAGCTGCGCCAAACGCTTTTGCCACTGCGGTCGACCAAGACGTTTCTGAACGCTTCTGTAGAGCGCATTGACCGTCACTCTGAGGCATTCCAAGCGTCTATTGTCTTGTGGCAAGACGCTGTGCCGCTAATTCTGACGAGGCTTCTAGAGTTTTTGGACTATGGCCATGCTTCACATAACCAAAGTAGCTGGACGCTGCTTCCAGAGGAGATGCGATCGTCGGTTGGCCGTCTCCTTACGGATAGATTTTGGCAATCCGGCATCTCTGAGGGAAGCAAAGACGACTTCTACGCACGAGTCATGGAGAGGAAGGGTACAATGGAAGGCCTCGCATCCTCCATTCGGTCCACTGTCCGCTACGTGCGAGAAACGGCCTACTCTATCCTCTGCAATCTCAGTCGGTTTAGTGTCCAGTTCTACAGTTTCGACGGCCTCCCAGAACCGCTTTCGCGAGCATTATTTGGCAACGCACTGTTTTTACCTCCTCATCAGATTATTGGGCTGCTGAACCTAGTTCGATTCCTAGTGGACAACTGCCCTGTGGAGTTCCGCGGGCAGTTTCTACCGCCTTTGATTTCTTTGTGTTTCCAGCAGACATCATCCAAGCTGGTACAAGAATGGGGCCGGATTGACCAGCAGCAGGAGATCAAGACAGATGGCGACGGGCTTACCGAGGAGATGAAAGCCGAGAGTATTTTGCGGCAGTTTGGCTACTGTGCGGTGATCATGATGGCCGATTTCTTGGATCCTACGAGAGTGAACGGTAAGCAAGGTAGTACGTCTTCCAAGATGAACGGGGAGTCAGAGGCGCTAACTTTTTATGTACAGTCTTGTTGCAGCAAGATTCATCTCCGGAGCCCGCAAACGCACAGGCCAAATATCCGACTCTGCGGCGGTTTTGCCTTATGAATACAAGTCTGGTTGAGCCCCTGTTGGTGTTCTGCAATCACGCTATTCGCATTCACGATGGCCGTTGCTGCAGCATCGTGCTTCGCGTCCTACGGACCATCATCAGCGAATTTGTAGTGGTAGACCCTGGGTCGCCAGAATCTTTGCCTCCGCCTGCGCTCCCAGTGCCACCTACATCTGGGGATGAGAATGCAAACGGCAGCCGAAACCGGACAGGGTCGACAACAGGAGCGCGTGCACCTGACCCATTCCCTGTACCAGCAGAGACATCGGCAGCGGTCCGCGAGTACCTTTCGTCTGAGGTTTTAAAGAGCTGCATCCTGTCGCTGCACGAACCATACTTTGTGGACCAACACCGAGAACTTGGCTCTCTGATTGCGTCCATATTGTGCCACTACTGCCCAATTACAGCAACACCACGGCAGGTGCTGTTGTCACTACCGAACATGAAGGCGGGCGATGTGGACTTTGCCATTGAACAGATTTGCCGAGCAGGAATGCAGTCGCGCCAACAACGTGCACTGGTTTTGGATCTGCTCAAGGACCTGAAAGGCGTCAGCGTCGCTGAGATGGGTAAGCTCAGCAAGACAGGCGGGCTCAAACGCGACTCGTTCCGGCCTGCAACAAGAAAGTCAACCCAGCGCAGCAAGATGGCGCAGGAGTTCATGACGGCTCCGTCGACAACCGGCGGTGGCACGGCTTCCAACAACGAAGCCGGCTCACGAATGGGTGATGGCGGCCGTGGCAGCCCTGACCTAGAAGGGGTTGCAGGCCTCTTTAATGTGGCGGAATAAATAGTCACCACGACTTTTTCTGGGTTGTACAGGGACTCACGTTTCAGTCATACGTTGTTGCAATTTTTCTCTATTTTTTGTTTTGCTCTGTTTTCGTTTTCCGTTTCCTGCTATCGCGCGATGGATTTGATTCTTGGTCAGGGTCACACACGTGTTGTCAATTTTGATTTGTTGCCCTACTTTTCTTTTCTGTTTTTGTCTGTTTTTATGATGTGACTGCATATACCTACATATATGACTCTCTGGGGGGTTCGACGGAGTAGAAAAGGGCAAAGGCGAGGAGCGAGAAACCGATTTCGAAAAAGAGGGCAGCGCAAAACAAAAGCTGTTCTTCACCTTTACGACGGTGGACAATATTTTACTGTGCGCGGTTGCACACACATATCGGGCAACGATAACAAAGTCGGACATAGAATGACAGAAAAGACAGAAAACAAAACACATGCCGTACAGATGCCGAAGACGGCAGCAAAGTGTCGTGCTTTTGTGCCATTTGTATGACTACGAGCCGGGTTTGTTGTAACCAAATTCTATGCGGCTACTTTCATAGCTGTTTACATCACCTCGTGCGTCATGTGTTCTTGGGTCGCACCAAAACGGCTCTCGATCTGATAAATATTACGTTGTGACTGCAAATGCCCTCTCCTGTGATGAGCACTGTGCTTCTGTGGTCGTCGGTGTGCGACGTATTAAAAGGAGCTTGAAACTTCGACGCACTGCTTTTGCGTCAGGTTTCAACTCGCTTGCTTGGAGCAAGGGTGGAATGAATGAAGTGCAGCAACAGCACAGCCACGGCAGGAGAAACAATTCACATAAAGGGGCAATTGAAAACTACAGAGTGCGAGTTGAAATACGACGAAAACGGGGCAATAAAAGAAGGAAATGTCCGACATTTAAACAACTCCCCTTGATAATTTCTCAAACAAACCATGGTCGGCAATATTTCGTACATGGCCTGGCAATATCGCGGTCTCGAATCCACACGAGATTTCGCCGTTCCCAGGAACGTTGCTCGCCAAACAGCACTCGCCTCGACATGGTCGTGCGATGTCCGTCGCAACCGCCTTCGACTCCAACGAACCTGGCCATGGCCATGGCCACAAGTTCATGGCCAATCTCGCCGTCGGAGAGGTAAAATATATTTCCAACCCCCCAGCAACAGCAAAAGTGTGCGCGTCGCTTCTTTTATGTAGCGTCGGGAACGCCACAGTGTTGCAGATTGGTGCTTTGCCCTTCCTTTGGTGTGTTTCTCGGCTTGATACGAAACACGACTTTACACATTGGTTCGTTCCGTGTACGAAGTATTTCGTGCGACATACGGAGTAGGACAGAGTATTGTTGCCAATCAATATTTTCCTTTTGCCCGTTATTCCCCAATGCATGCCCCCCTAATGCCCATCTCCAATCTCCAGCAAATACCCAAGCCGGTCTGCGTCTCGCTTGCACATTAACACATCACGTCAACAAACTAACTAAACGTAAAGATGCTTGATGCATTATCCTAAATGCATTCTCCGCCTATGGACGCACCGAGTGCTTTGTCTTCAAGATACAAAGTCGTGCCAACTTTCACAGCCAGTCAGCGGCGGTCCCTTGTCGATACCACGAGCGTGGTGCGTCGTAGATGCCGTGGCAGTGCTGTCCGTTGCGTTTCAGACGATCGTCACCTTCTTTCGTTGTGATCCGGGTTTGTGCCTTTCCATTGATAGTGCTCGGCCAAAAGTCAGGGAGTGGCGGTGTGCTCTCTATGTACGGAGTAATTTTGAGTGAATGGAGATAGGAGGGCGCTTCTTGCGTCGCTCCTTCCCCTTTTGCCTTTATTCCTGAGCAAGCTCCCTCGAGTACCTTAGTCCGTCCATCTCGCTTCAACCTGCTCTTTCCTCTGCTACCAATATCCATCCCCAATTCGCCATCGCACATGGCGTCCATCTTCTTCTCGATGCAATTGATGGCCAACTGATCCTACATCCCTCCCCACCGCAGCCAGGCCAACAGACCTTGAAACCTTAAATCCACCAACTGCCCGGGCCCAATCTGTTGGCCCGGTCGACGGCGAGCTAGTTACACCTGTCGCGAGAGTCTCCACCCCACCGTCTCGCTTGCTCCTCCCACCACCAATGCTACGCTTTCATGGCCCAATATCTTACGTCCGGGCAATGCTAGACTTGGTGGCCCTCCCTGCCTGCGACAACAAGTCCTGCGACGACAAGTCTGTGATTGCAGCCATCTGAGCGAGCCACTTTGGCGTCCTCCCCCTCACCCGCTAATTACCAGATCCGTTCTAGACATGGTATTGCGCAGGGAGGATCTGCGATCTATTTCCGCTGCAGCTAGCCAAAACCTCAAATCGTCAACGGCTTTGCTCTTCGCATACTTAAACTTTCAACCCTTTTTCTCCGTCAACTTATCGGCCTGCCCACCCATCCAATCGCAACTCAAAATCATCACCGCGCGGCTTTGGTTGCTCCGCCCCTCCACCACCAGCCTGCCATTGACCCCATCTCGATACTCCATCGGATCTGCCCAAGATGGTCTTCTCGGGGAAACCGTCGACGGGCTGCCAGATGTGCCGAACACGACGGATCAAGGTAAGGCTCATGCTCGTACCTGCATACTGTGGGTGGCGGGCCCGCCGTGGCTTGTTTCTCCTCTTCCACTTTGGCGTGCCATGCTGTACGGCTCGGCACTTGGTCCCTCGATACCGTGCTGCACGTCACCTGTGTCCTGCTGTCCTACTGTCCTACCTACCGTCCTACCTGCCGTCCTTTTGATTCGTCTACGTGCTGCCGCCTGCATTCTATCTTGCGGCCACGCGGTACCTGCCCGCTATCAAGAGAACACTCTCTAACCCTGTGTACAACTACAGTGTGACGAGGCAAAGCCTGCATGTAACCAATGCATCCGCACCAACCGCACTTGTCCAGGCTATAAGAGCAAGATTGACTTGCTCTTCCGGAACGAGACCGAGGCTAGTGCGGCCGAGAAACGAGCACGCACCACTGCCCGGAAAAAGGCAGCTGCCACCCTACGCAGTCGCCAGGCTGGGCGTGCCGCGCATCAGACTCCGGACACGGCCAGCTTCGGCGGCTCCGTCACCTTGCCCGCGCATACCGGCTCCGGTCACGCCAGGAGCACAGATAGTGACAGCCCGGATGACAGCCTCGCCAAGGCCTCACTTCGGTTCGTCGCAGCACATGGCCGCAGGGGCAACATGGCTAGCTACGGCAACGGCTTCGGAGCAAGCCAGAATGGTAACAGTGCAGACAGCACGGGCAGCTACTCGTCCGGGAGCAGCCGTTATTATTATGGGTCCATCGTACCGGCTCTGCCAGTACCACCCGATCAGCTGGCCGTCTGCCACTTCTACTCCAATTTTGTGCTCGTTCCGTTCCAGGGTACCGGTCGAGGCTACATGGACTTCCTCGTTCCTATGATGAAGGATGCCGAGAGCCCGACATCGTTGTATGCATCCATTGGCACAAAGGAAGCGGCTGCCCTCAGCGGTGCCTCTGATGTGGCCAGCCCCTCAACGCCAGGGACCGCAGCACCTGTATCTTCTTCAAGCAAAGAAGCCCGCGCCGCCCTCTCAATTGCATTTCGCGCTTGTGCCCTTGCGTCCATGGGCACACGCGTCGCCTCCAACGGCTTCGCATTTGCCGACAAAGCACTGTCAGCCTATACGCGAGCGTTGGCTGCCACTCACCTCGCACTGCGTGACCCGGCGCTCTCACGCGCAGATAACACTCTTGGCGCAGTCTTATTGCTCAGCTTATTTGAGGTACGCAGGCGCCCTCCACCAGTCTTTTGCTCCTAATCATTGTCGATTTTATATGCTGACGTGCCTCAGAGCATCACCGCAAAGCACATGGGCTTGTTCGCATGGGGCTCCCATATTGAAGGTGCTGTTGAAATCGTGAAAGCCCGGAACTTGGGTCAGCGTAAGACTCGGTCGGGTCTATCCCTGTTCATTGCTGTGCGTACGCAAATGGTAAGAGACTGCAAGACAAGCACGTGCCTCGTATACTGGCTTGAAGACTGCATTCTAACACATGTTGCAGATTATTCATTGTCTTGCCTCCGGCAAGGCGCCTGACATGGATGTTGACTGGTGGATGGCCGATGCTGTCGCCGACTCCGCCGCAGGCGCCTGCCAGCGGCTCAGTATTCGAACCGCCGCTCTGCGATCTCGGGCTGCTGATCTCATGGCTACGTCCTCTGACCGCTCTCCCGAAAATGTTGCCCGCATTATGGCCCTCGCGCAAGAAGCATACAGCCTCGATCGTGACTGCGTTGCTTGGCAAGCCAATGTCCCCGTCGAGTGGCGGTACCACACCGTTGCCTGGCAAGACAAGCTCCCCGAAGGCGGCGACTACGGGCGGGCCGAGGTGTTTCCAGGGAAGATTGACGTCTACCGTGATATTTATATTGCCAGTGTATGGAATATGGTTCGTGCCACCCGCCTGTGCCTGGCTTCGATCGGCGTACGCTGTGCTGCTTGGGCCTGCGCCCCAGCAGATTATCGCACAACGTCCCAATACGCCACTGCAGCACGCATGTGCAGTGACATCATCACGGACATAATTGCATCTGTGCCGTTTTATCTAGGCTGGCATAAAAGTCAGGACTTTTCTTCGTCGTCGGCTTCACCGGATCGCAGGCACCACTCCAAAGACCCCCCCAGTGCTACCCAGTCGACCGACGGCAGTACGGAGGGAGATTCTGATAACGAGTACACCCCCTCCCTGGGCTTTGTCTGCGGTGACGATTCCAGTCTCAAAGGCCTCGCTGGCTACTTTCTGGCCTGGCCGTTGACCAACATTAACAGCCAGGACTACACGACGGACAACCAGCGCGCCTGGGTCATTGGACGGCTGAAGCACATTAGCAATGAGCTTGGCGTGCGATACGCAGGTTTCCTAGCCGAGGTAAGCTGTGCAGGCGTGTTTCGTTATAAGTGGAAACCATGATATGTAGTGATGAATACCAGATGCTAACATGTTTCCTTGTTTGAAGCTCAGATTCCGTGTCCCGTCAATGTTGATCCGCCGTGACCGGGTCATGTCGCAACATCAACATCTCGAGTCACTGCACAACATGCAGGCCTTCCTATCGGCGACGTCGGGCGTATCGCCACCCGGTGTATCGATGGCGTCTACAGTAGGCCCGGGATCATTATCTAGCCCTAACTCTGACACAAGTTCAGTAACGATCCCAGGGGTGGTCTCGAATGCAGGTCGTTCGACACCGACACCCTCCACCACCAAGCAAGCATTGAATCCACTCCAACAGTGGGAAGCTCTTCAGAAGCAATCACTAGACGCGGATCGAAAAGAACTCGTCGAAAAGGCATCTGGAGGTTCGGGGCCGTACGGTACGTATGTCGCTCATAACATTTTACATGTGTAGGAGGAAACGCGAATGACAAGGTTGCTTTATAAAGGGGACCTCATTGGAGATGGGCATCATGTAAAATAGCATCCTATTTAGGAAACAGATAGGACCTGGGTGGGGATGTATACATGTACAGAATACGCTTTGAGCATGCAGAAGTACGGGAGATTGCAAAATGCAGTATCATAGCATTTCAAGATAATTAAATGCAAACCAACCCACAAGGGTGGATTGAAAATGCACGATATTATGCAAAACTACAACCGTTGCTGATTACCTGAAGCTTGTCGCAAGAAAGAGATGTATAACAATGAAATTGAAAGCAAGAACCAAAACATCTATGCATTCACGCACAAAGGCGGATCCGAACCCGGCTGTAAATACATGACAGACGCCCCTCTGACCTTGGCCAGAAATCCCAGGACCTCGTACTAAGGTAATCTCAAGTCTCAAATGGCGCAACTCGCTGTCGTCGCTCGCTTCCAAGTGTCGGTGCATCTCGAGATGTGTCGCGTCAATGGCGGCAAGTCGCATGCTGGGTGGTATCCCCATGGCCGAGCCGTGCTACTGCTGAAATCATCGCACCACCTATTTTGATTTTGAGTTGTGCCTGTCCGGTTAGACGGTGCTCCCATAAACTGCGAAAACGACAGTTGCCAAAACACATACCTCTTGCGCTGCTCGTCCAAGCCGATGTTGTTTGCGTGTTGGTTCCACACGTCCACAAAGACCTTCTGAGTCGCATCTACATACTTCTCGTTCTTCACCTCCTTGACGTTAACGCGCATGCCATCCTTGGTGAAGGTGATGTTCTTGTTGCCAATGTTCTTGGTCGCTTGCGCCTGGATCTTGTTCACGCTTAGGTAGATCTGGTAGCCGACAAAGGCGAGGCCGCCGATAACCATGAAGAGGACAACCAGGGGCACGAGCTGCCTAGAAAGAGGGTCAATTGTGCGATCATCACAAAGCCACAACAAAGCAAAATGGAAAGCCAACGGCTGCATTTGCATTCAGTGGCTGGCATTGGCTGCAACAAGACCTTGCATGTGCAAGCGAATCGACGTGTCTTACCCGATCAATGAGCGGCCAGACATGGTCTCTTGTCTGTTGTCGTGTGGTAGGGGGGGGAACGTAGGGGGTTAAGGCGAGATAGGGATCGTGCTTGGTCTTGACAAGATTGAAGAAGAACGAAAAACGATGGAACACAGAAAATGCACAGGAAGAAAAATAAATGGGCCCTGTCGATAAACCTTTGCGCAAAGGAAGGAGAGGTTGCAGTGTCGCAAACGGCGTGCGCCTTAAGAAGAAAGGAAAGCGGGCACAAGACGAAGCACGAAAGGGTGAGACGAAAGAAATAACCTATCGGCGATCGCTGTCGAACTCATTGGTCACGGAAACAGTATCGGAGGCCCTTTTCTAGTTGTCAGCTCCTGAGTACCTTCTCCTCCATACAACACACAAGTCAAAGTGGGTCTGGCTTCGAGACGACAAGAAAAGACCCTGTGGCGTGCAGTGTTAGTGTAGAGTGCCCGCAGCCCAAATTAGGCTGGTCAGGTACTCTAGGGCATTGGATTTCGGTGAATCGAGCTTCGGCTTGGGCCAGCTCCTGTCGCTTGTTGGACCTATAATAGTACTCCCGTAATACGAAAATAATACCAATCACAAGCTTGTAAACCGTCGACTCGCCCAAGTGCGGGGCGAATTCGGTTTTGCTTGGAGGCCTAAATTCGAGGAGCTTGAGGGAATATCTCGTTGAGAGGCAAGATTTTGAAGCTAAATAACGTATTACAGCATGAAGGAAAAAGCCCCGAGACAAGGCAAGGATAAAACAATAAGCAACAAACGGGTTATCAGAATGAGAACAAAAGGAACGGACCTGCGAAACATGGGCAGATCGTATAACGATGCACAAGAGTGAACGATAAAGCTGAAGAGAGTCTAGGAATAAGAAAAAAAAAGAAGAAAAAATAGGCCAAATGCAAATGTACAGTTAGATTACAGGTGAGACGCCCTGGTCTCAACACTTTGCGTACACCTTCTTAGCACAACATCCAACCTACGACTGAGAAATCATGCCTTACAGCAGCATGCGTCTCGGGTCCTCAATGTACTCCTTCACCTTCACGAGGAACTGCACAGCCTCGCGTCCGTCCAGCAGACGGTGGTCGTAGGTCAAAGCCAGGTACATCATGGGGCGGATCTCGATCTTGCCGTTGACGGCCACGGGGCGCTCCTTGATGGCGTGGAGGCCCAGCACGGCGGACTGCGGCAGGTTGATGATGGGTGTGCCCATCATCGAACCGAACACACCGCCGTTGCTGATCGTGAAGGTACCACCAGCCATGTCCTCAATGGTCAACTTGCCGTCGCGAGCCTAAATGTAGAAAATTTGTTAGCGCATGCGCATTGCGTCTGTTGACAGGCTAGAAGGCAATGTAGGAAGCCACAAACCTTGTGGCCCAGGTCAGCAATCGACTTCTCAATGGTGACCAAATCCATGTCCTCGGCGTTGCGAACGACAGGAGTTACGAGACCCTTCTCCGTCGCCACGGCCACGCTGACGTCAACGTAGTCACGGTAGACAATGGTGTCGCCGCCGTTGGGGCCCTCAATGGACGCGTTGACGGCAGGCAGGTCCTTCATGGCCAGCACACAGGCGCGCGTGAAGGCGCTCATGAAGCCCAGCTTGACTCCCGTCTTCTTGAGCACCTCATCCTTGTACAGCTTGCGGAACTCGACGAGCGAGGACATGTCGACCTCGTTGAAGGTGGTTAGGGAGGCGGCAGTGTTCTGCGACTGCTTGAGACGCTCGGCGATTCGAAGACGCATACGGTTCATCTTGACCTGTGGCAGAGGGCACGTGGTATTAGTAGATTGGATCATTTGAGAAAAAAGAAAAAGATAAAAAAGGTAAAACCAAAACGGTTCGCAGTTGACTTACTCTGCGTTCCTCACGGTTGCCAAGCGGCGAAGGAGAGGCGGGCTCGGAGCTGGACTGTTTTGGTGGCGCGGGTGAGCTCTTCTTCTCCGGGGCAGGCGCAGGTTTTGACGGTTCAGCAGGTTTGGGGGCTTCCGGTTTTGACTCGGACTCGGTGGCAGTAGAATTTGCCGCCTCCTCCTTGGGTGCTTCGGACGCCGCAGGCTTCTCAGCCGCGGCCTCGCCCTCGGCGCCGACCTCTATGCGAACGAGATCCTGGCCAACAACGACAGTGTCCTCCTCGTTGGCGAAGAACTCGCGCACCACGCCGGCTTCCGTTGCGTTGACGGCCACATCGATCTGGAGCAGGTGTTATGCATCGTTTCGTTAGTCACCAAATTCGCGCGTCAATCGCTTCGCAATGGCAAACATGCGCACCAGCTCTTCAGAAACGCACCTTGTCGGTCTCAATGGTTGCAATCTCCTCATCCTGCTCGACGCGCTCGCCAATCTGCTTGGAGAACTGCTTGAGCGTGCCCTCTGAGATGGACTCGGCCATCACGGGCACCTTGACTACCAGATCCGCGTAAGTGCGCACATGCTGGAATATCAGCGGCAGCTGCGCATGGCGCAGCGACGGCTGTGGCCGACACAGAGCGGCCGACCGGGCGGCGAGGAGGAATCGTCTCGACAGCATGGTGAACGGGCTGAAAAGGGGGTATGTCGGACAACAAAACGAGCGAGCAAAACGTGAAACACGAGGACCAAAAAGAGAAAAGGCCGAAATAGATTCAATTAGGAGCTGAAGCAAGAGTAGAAGACAAGACTGTCAAAACGACTGTTGCGGGTGGCAAGAATGAAGAATCGCTTCGTTCGGGAAGCAGGAAATACGTAGATGAGAAAATAAAGTTCAGTTGCCGAGCAAAGCCGGGGGCATAAAAACAAGGTTGTCGAGCATGGCCATGAACACGTGCACCGCCACAGCGCACAGCCACTGCCGACAAAAAAACCGAAGCACGTGTCATGTCACGTAGCATAGCTACAAAGCAACGAGTGGGTACATAATTTAGTGCAGAGCTCTTGAGAGGACAGGTGGTGGCCCGCCTCCAGCCGCCAATGATGCGAATCAATGGAAAGGTGTCGGTGTCGCCCTCCTTGCCTCCTCTCCTGTGTATTCCCCTCCACATTTTCCGCACGCCACGAAGCAGACACCTCCTTCGCCTGGCGACAGCATCTTCCCATCGCCGCTTTCCGGTGCCGACCCTTAGTTCGCTCGAAAGGCCGCCTTTTGTATTTTGAGGTGCGTTCGCTGCTGCCTGAGCTTCTTTTTCCATCTCTCTTGCCTTCATCTGTTGGCAGCATTTTCTGCGTTCTTCTCGCCTCCCCTTTCTCACAGCAATATCGAATTTCAGCAAGCTCCTACCTTTCCCGCGCTGGCCTATCCGTTTCGTCTCATAGACGTTTCTCGCCGTGTCTCTGTCTCTTGCCTTCGATATCACGCCTCATTGACACCTCGACACCGTCCATCCCCACACTGACAGCAGCCATGTCTGCCCCTTACGGTCAGCAGTATGGCGGTCAGCCATCACCGTACGGCGACCAACAGAGCTTTCAAGACCAGCAGCAGCTGCTTCCCGAGGGTCATGCTCCGCCACCGGCTGGTGCGCCCATTCTTGAGACGGGCAAGAAGAAGAAGAGAGCTTATGCTGCTGATGCCTTCAGTGTTGGCACCGCCGGCAATACCTCCGCTGGCGGTCAGGGGCCACCACCCAGTCAGTACGGCGCTCCCGTCCAGCCTGCCGGCGCTCCTGCATACGGCAGCTACGGCGCCCAGGCAACCCCTGATGTCCAGGATGTGCAGTATGGCCACCCTCAGCAGGTTGGCATCGGTGCGTCCGGCGGAGCCGCGGGTGTCCCCGCGGCTGGCGGCTACGGATATCCCGATTATGGCTACTCAGGTGCAAACGCAGGCATGCCTGGTGCTGGTGGTGTCGATGCAGTGACGGCTGGTGTTGCCAACATGGGCATCACAGGCGCCGGTCAGCCACCCGCCCCGCACCAGCCGCCGCATCAGCAAGTACCAGCGCACCAGGGCCAGCCGCCGCGTACTGGTCCCCTCAATCAGCTGTATCCGACCGACCTCATGAGCCAACCCTTCAATGTGTCTGAGCTGGACCTCCCCCCGCCGCCCATCATGTTGCCCCCCAACGTAAGAACGCTTTTTGTTTACCCCCCTTCCCTCCGTTTATCCCACCTTGTAGAGCACCTTCGGGCTGGTGGCGGGCTTTGCAGGTTGATGCTAACAAATTTGTCTTCCCCTTTGGCTAGAGCAGCGTCACTCCCTCGCCGGACGCCAACTGCCCGTCTAAATATGTCCGGTCCACAATCAATGCCGTCCCCACGAACCATTCGCTCCTGAAAAAGTCCAAACTACCTTTTGCCCTCATTATTCAGCCTTATGCGTCCTTGCACGACCTCGACGACGACGTCCCTGTTGTGCAGGACCAGGTTATTTCGCGCTGCCGGAGATGCCGCTCGTACATCAATCCCTTTGTGACCTTTGTTGACCATGGCCACCGCTGGCGCTGCAACATGTGCAACCTGACCAACGACGTCCCCCAGGCCTTCGACTGGGATGCGGCTTCGCAGAAGAGCGTCGACCGCTGGCAGCGCCACGAGCTGAACCATGCCGTCGTCGAGTTTGTTGCGCCGCAGGAGTACATGGTACGCCCGCCGCAGCCACTGGTCTACCTGTTTCTCTTTGATGTCAGCTACGCCGCCGTATCAACAGGTCTCCTTGCCACCAGCGCCCGTACCATTCTCGACAGCCTCAACAGAATACCAAATGCCGATGGTCGTACGCGCCTAGGCTTTATCGCTGTCGACTCCTCCCTGCACTACTTTGCCATCCCGCGCGATTCGAAGCCCGCCGCCAAGGAAGAGGGCGAGGAGGATGACGGTGCCAATGGGGACGATGAGGAGAACAATGGTGCTGGCGAAACAAGCATGCTCGTCGTCAGCGACCTGGATGAGCCGTTCATGCCCGTGCCCCAAGAACTACTGGTGCCGCTGACCAGCTCGCGCCAGAGCATCGAACTGTTCCTCACGAAGCTGCCGGGCATGTTTGCCAACAACCAGAACAACGGGTCCAGCATGGGATCCGCCCTGCGTGCGGGCCACAAGCTCATCTCACCTCTGGGCGGCAAGATGGTTGTCCTCAGCTCGTCGCTGCCAAACATGGGCACCGGCAAGCTGGAGATGCGCGAGGACAAGAAAGTGCTGGGCACGTCCAAGGAGGGCGCGCTCCTACAAACAGCCAATAGCTTCTACAAGAGCTTTGCCGTAGAGTGCTCCAAAAACCAGGTTTCCGTCGATATGTTCCTCTTCTCGTCACAGTACCAGGACGTGGCGTCGCTCAGCAATTTGCCACGGTACACTGGCGGCCAGACATGGTTCTACCCTGGCTGGAACGCCGGTCGGCCCGAGGATGCCATCAAGTTTGCCACGGAGTTTAGTGACTACTTATCGTCGGAGATTGGTCTTGAGGCCGTGCTGCGCGTTCGCGCGACCACGGGCCTCCGCATGAGCTCCTTTTACGGCAATTTCTTCAACCGCAGTTCCGATTTGTGCGCCTTCCCCGCCTTCCCGCGTGACCAGTGCTACGTGGTTGAGGTCGCTATTGATGAAACACTCCAGAAGAATGTCGTGTGTCTCCAGACAGCAGTTTTGCACACGACCTGCAATGGCGAGCGCCGCATCCGTGTCCTGACATTGGCCCTTCCTACGACACTCAGCCTGGCCGACGTGTACGGATCGGCCGACCAGGCAGCCGTGACGGCATACTTCAGCCACAAGGCCGTCGAGCGTGCACTGGACGGCGGCCTAGACGCGGCCCGCGACAGCCTGCAGAACAAGCTGACGGAGCTACTGCAGACGTTCCGCAAGGAACTGGCGGGCGGCAGCATGGGTGGCGGCCTGCAGTTCCCTGCCAACCTGCGGGGCCTGCCAGCACTGTTCCTGGGCCTAATCAAGAACGTCGGCCTGCGCAAGTCGGCTCAGATCCCTTCGGATCTGCGATCTGCAGCGCTGTGCCAGCTTTCGACGCTCCCCGTACCGCTGCTGCTGCAGTTTATCTACCCGCGCCTGTATTCGCTGCACGATATGCCAGACAATGCCGGGGTGCCGGACCCCGAGACTAGCCAGATCGTGTTGCCGCCGCCGCTCAACTTGTCCTCGGAGCGCTTTGTTCCATATGGCCTGTACTTGATCGACGATGGGCAGACACAGTTCCTGTGGGTTGGCCGCGACACCGTGCCGCAGCTTCTTGTTGACGTGTTTGGCGTGACGGACCGGACACAGCTGCATGTGGGCAAGACGTCTCTACCAGAGCTGGACAACGATTTTAACGAACGGGTGCGGGCAGTGGTGCAAAAGAGCCGGGATCTCAAGTCGCGGGGCGTCGGCAGCATTACAGTGCCGCACCTCTACGTGGTCCGCGAAGACGGCGAGCCGAGCCTGAAGCTTTGGGCGCAGACACTGCTGGTGGAGGACCGGGCGGACCACAGCATGAGCTTCCAACAGTGGATGGGCAACTTGCGGGAGAAGGTGAGTAACTAGCAGGCACGAGTCTGCACTTGTGTAATTTGTTTTGATACGTTTCCTTCACTCGTACGGCAGCTAACATCTCTCGTATAGGTCGTCCAGTAATTACGAGGCAGACAGGAGAACAAGCTGTTGGGAACATATTGGTCGTTGTTGTTGCTGTTGTATTTTGTTTATGCACTTTTATTTATTTCCTGCGCTTCTACCTCTTTTTCTTTTCTCTCTTTTTTTTTTTTCATCTCTCACACTCTCTTGCTCGCTTGTCTTTTTCTACGCGTGTACTTTAGAAAACAAGTTGAATTTGGAGCGAATTTTCTATGCAGAACACGTAACGAAGAAGAACCACGGCGAGCAGTGCGGACGTGAGCAATAATGAAATAAAATAAAACACAGATATTGAGGAGTATTGCAGGGCTGTACGTGTTGTTGCGGGAGTTGTGGTAGAAGCACATAGATTTTCTTGAAAGAGGTACGAAAGCAATAACCGTTTGATGACCCCAAAGGGCGTCTCCAGGTCCACGATCTATGTCACCCTTATCACGGCCGTGTGTTCACTACTCTCTGTCAAGGCCCACATGATAGGAGTACGAAATACACTTGATACATGTTATTACTGCAGGATTGTGCCAGTCGACCTGGCCCTTGTCGTCGTCTACCGGATGCCGGGGGCTTTCTTGATCCGCGAAATGTTGCGTCCTGCCAAATAAACGCCCTGGACAAGCAAAAATTTCCATATTTAGAATTCAATCGACTTGTAGATGTGCAACGAGCTAAACAGAGCCCCAGCTTTGCCATCCCGTTCAGTGCGTATGCGTGTTCTCCCGTACAGGATGGCAGCCTCTTCGCCTGGGTCCTTGTTTAGCTTCGACGTACTCCGTACTTCATTCGTCCTTCCTCCTGTTTTTCTCAGTCTGCGCTCCAAGCGCCGGAGCCAGTCATGAAACGGAGCGTTGCTTGGGATGTGATTGAAACACACGCGGCGGGCGCCTCAAGATGATCTGCGATTGGCTGGTTTGGGGCCTTTCCCAGTTAGCAACTGTTGGCTGCGAAGGTTGTTGTTCGCTAGTATGACTTAGTGCGTCGTCTTTCAGGGGGATACATCGACTCGAAGTCCTGCCAAAGAAGGGCCCTGACAGGCTAGCAACCATGGTCTGCGTTCTGTTCCATTTCCTTGCCAGGAACATTCGCACCTCAACCTTTACCCCCAGAGCCACTTATCTTTGTAACGGAGCTGCCTGTTCTTGAATGCGAAGGTAATCTTAGCAAACAATGGTTCAAGTATTTTTACGGGACACAAAGTCGGGTCTCCTTTTCTTTTCGCTTGTTCTGCTCGCCGTGCAAGGCCATGCGGTTGTCTCGTCACAGCTTGGCCGAATCACACCACATATTGAAAAGTATTTATTGTTACGGAGTGCGACGTGATACTCCATACTTGGTTCGAGCATCGGGAATGGTTTGGGCGCCCTTGTATCGCTCTTGCTCCGTCGTCACCATTGTGCCATTGGCCGAACCTATTTTAGTCGCTCTCTGTATCGATTTTGCGCTTTCTCTGCATTCGTCCCTTCCCACTTGAGTGCTCGCAAATCGTATTTTACTGTTCCTTCCTTAACTCTCTCTCTGTCTCACACGCTCTCTCGCGCTCTTGGTCTTCTTGATCTTGACAGTCCCTTCTCATCCTATTTAGGTCTTCCCGTCGTCCCCCACAGTCTCCTGACTTTGCATTCAACCCGATCGGCCCCTTAATTCCCGTCGTGCCCTTTCGTTGCTTGGCTCCCAAAAAGCACGTTCAGGCACGCCTGTGAGCACGCTTTTGACCAAACACCCAACACCTTTTTGCTCTAGCTAAATCTAAACTTAGACCAAGCCGACAGCCCGCCCACAAAGCACGAAACGGCGGCGCTCTCGCCCTCCCACCCCCCC